AACGAGAGAGGAGTTACCATTGAGGGGAATGAGATGTCATAGAATTAGGGGGGAAATATCTGGAGAGTGAGAGAAGAACGGTGGTAGCTATTTGGTGTCGTTGCTAGCGATATCGCTGCTGCTGCTGCCGGTGACGCCAGTAAGGGATGAAGGAGAGATGGAAATAAAGAGAGGGAGATGTCTCGAGAGTAAGAGTGAGAGAGTAGTAGAGTTATGGTTTCATGTGGATCTCCATCGTGATGGGTCTCTGTTTGGACAAACAGAGAAAAGAGAAACATGATATTCAATAAAGGAGTTAACGGTGGGATGAGAGGGATGAGAGAGGAGTGAATTTTGGGAAGAGCACTTGACAGATACATATTTGAGGGAAAAATTGTATTGGGGATAAAATTTTAAGTTGTGATGTGTTTTATTATATAGATTAGGCATAACTGAAGACACGATAAAATATAAAATTCAAGCTCTCAAAAAATCGATTTCACTATATTAAATTTTTTCAACATATGTATATTATTGTATAGGAATAATGTTTGAAATAAAAATTATATTAACTACAAATTAATCAATTATTGAATGATTAAACATATGATAGAAATTAGTGATATGATATTTTTAGGGAAAAAATATATAAATAATTAAATATGTGTTAGAAATGAGTAATACGACTTGACGTTTAAGTCTGACAGAGGGATGACGGGTGACATAACTTATTGCCATTGGTGATGATTTTAAGAGACAAAATATAATTGAAATAAAATTTAAAATATGAGCTGTTTTATTATATAGATATTTAGGGGTCTTAAAATAAAATAAATCTTCTTATTAGCTGTATTCTTATTTCATCTTTTGAAAACTACATTGATGGATAGTTTCGAAAAATATTATAAAGCACATCCAAACATTATCGAATAAAATATTTCAAAATATTAAAAATTGGAAACAAAAATGTTTGGGAATATATTTTAGGATTAATTGCATTAAATGTCTCTAAAGTATGAGATTTGTCTTATTTTGGTCCTCAATATTTCAGTTTTATCATTTTAGTCTCTGAAATATTGAATATGTTTCTATGTAATCCCTCAAATAGACAGTATTCATATTGTTAACAATTTTTTATCATAAACTTGTCACATGATACTTAAATATAAATAAAAAATAATAATTTGTCATCTACCCAAATTATTGTTTGTAAATATTTAGGTATCACGTAACAAGTTTATGATAAAAAATAGTCAGCAATTTGGACGTTGTTTGTTTGAGGGACCACATAGAAACATATTCAATACTTCAGGGACTAAAATGATGCAATTAAAATATTAATGACCAAAATGAGATAAACTTCATACTTTAGAGACCTCCATTGCAATTAACCCCATATTTTAATCCTTGTGATACATTTTTTTTTTGGAAGGTAATCCTTGTGATACATTTTAGTTTTAAAACTCGGCCTGAACATCAACTCGAAGAAAGAGACCGGGTTAATAGGTCACTGATTCAACCGTTAGTCAGACCCGTTATTTAATAAAATAATAAAAAATAATTATTAATGATAATAAATAACTAAAAAAATATAATATTTATGAAAATAACATTTTTAATGTGTATATTAGATCAAATAAAAAACCCAAAAATATCAAATATGTATAAATACATCCAATTTGTAAAGTTAAACACTCGAACATGTAATTAAAAAAATAGAAACCACCATGAAGAATAGTCGGTGATAAGGGTGTCAATCGTGTCATGTTGTATCATTTTCATGTCATGCCACTTTTGATCGTATTATTTTCGTGTCGTATCACTTTTCATACGTGTCGGGTTCGTGTCAATATTTGTGTTAATAAAAAATTATTTAATTTGACAACAACTAATATAATACTATTTAAAAAATTTATAAAAAATTATAAAATTATTATTGTCTATCTACAATACTCATTAAATAATTATTTTCTATCTACAATATTTATTAATCATGTTATTCGTGTCAAACCTTAATTTGACCCATTTATTAATCGTGTCAACTAATCAAGTTGCTTTCGAATTTATGTCGGGTTCGATTTGAGTTGATTTCGTGTTAACGGAAAAAATTAACAACCCTATCCGGTGAGATGCTCTCCAAGTTAAAGGCTAATATGCAATTTCATACAAACAAATAAATAATATGGCAATCAAACAACACTAATCAGTAAGAACTTCGAAGAATATGACTAATCAGTCTAAAGAATAACACTAATTAGTAAGAAAATTCACCAATACAACTAAGGTTTTTTTTTTTTTTGGGACAGAATATTAAATAGGGTTTTACTAGGGTCTATTTAGTTAGGAAGAAAAAAATGATGGAAAGTGAAAATGATAGAAAGTAAAGTCAAAAAAAAAAAAATAATAAAAAATATATTTTCATACATATATTTGGTTAGAATAAAAAATTTATCGAAAAATTTTACAAAAATTTCATTATATTATTTGAAAGAAAGAAAAGTTATAAAATTTTTTTTATAATTATCTAAATTATCTTTAATTATACTAAATTGGTCTAAAAAAGAAAAAAAATATATGTAATTATAATTAAAAGTTAATTTTTTTTTAAAATGACTCGAAACTTAATTTTAAAACAATTACCAATACAGAAGTCTTTGAACAAAATTATATGATTAATCAAATTCATATCAAAATTTTTTAAAATTAATAATCAATAAAATATTTTTTAAAAAATAAAAATAAAATAGAAAGTTAATTACAGGTCACAACTTTTTTTGTATTTCTTTGTGTTTTTTACAAGAAAAAAAGTTAGTTATTTGTAAAAAAATGAAAGAAAATTTTTTTTTCATGTTAATCAAACACATAAAAATTTTTCTTTTTTACATTTTTTATCATTCTCCTACTAAACAAACAAACCTGCAAACCTGCTAAGAGTTTAAAAACCAAGATGCCACTCAAATTCAAAAGTGTCTAAGTGATCGGAAGCAAAGCTCTCACCCTACTTCGATTCAAGCCAACAATCAGAGATAGAGATGACCGAGATGCTTGCTTGAAGCATGGACGATCGAGAGATCAGTCGAAGAACATCAAAGTCGAATAGTCGCAGAAAAAGAGATACGAGTGAGAGTTGAGACCAAAGAGAGAGATGAGTTGCAGAGACCAGGTAGAGAGAGGCAAGTTGCAGAGACTGAAGTGAGAGAGACGACATGAGGTGTTGAGTGAGTGATCAGATCTGATCTTAGTCATCGAGGTCAAATAGCGTATTAGGGCAAAAAATGCCCAAAATTTTTTAATTTATCGGGTTTTCTATGATCCAGACGATTGTACATACCCGTTCGATTTGATCGGTTCATATAAAACTCGCCTGGTTCACCGAGTCTTAGGCAGATTTAATGCTTGAACGATCTAATTACTGGACCGGTCCAGTCTAGCAACCGGGTCAGCAGGTTTCAAGGTCAACCCTCCGGTCCGGGTCAGATTTTAATACACTTGGGCGTGAAAATGATGCATTTACACTAAATTAATGTGGTTTTTACATTTTACAATGAAAAGGCCACGAGTGGAAACAATTGAGACGGAGAGGTGGACGTCATCGTTGAGACGGACGGAGAGTTGTTCGGTGTAACTTTCGTATCATATTAGGAAGCACGGATATGGATACGTGACACGGATACGATAATATGATAAAACTTAAAAAAATAAGATACGAGTACGGTCAGGATACGTTATAATAAAATATATTTTATATTTTATTATTATTTAACGACTTAGAAATTACAATTTTTCAATAATTCTTTAACATTAATAAGTAAAATTAAAAATTTTGTCATGAAAAGGTTATAATATCATCTCATTATGATCTGTTCATAAAATGAGCATGACAAATTAAAGGAATTATAATAACATTTAACTAGTTGATTTTACAAGTATTTATTTTTAAAAGTATAGTGTAAGTGATTCATTTTTTTTTATACACTCTTAACATATAATAATAGATAATATTTAAAAAACACTCTTGTTTTTTAAATCAGATGGAATTTTGTTGATATTTTATATTGTATGTGAACTCCAAAAAAGGGTATAGCTTAAAATTGAAAATTGTATATCTTACACCATGTTTAGAAGTATCCGCGAAGTATCCACATATTTTATTAATTATCGGATACGGATGATGCATATCCGATACGTATCATCGAGTATCCGATGAATATCGTATCCGATACAATATTGGATACGGATACGTCGACTTTGACGAAGTATCCGTGCTTCATAGCTTTCATATAAGGATAGGGAATAGAGCAACGTTGGAAAAGTTGGGCTACAACACACCTACACCTATGTTGTGTTTGGTAAAAAGATAAAAAGTAGGAAAGATAAAAAATATGAAAGATACACTTTTTATTCTTTAAGGATGAAAAATATGAAAAATACACTTTCTTTTCTTTATTTTTTGGTGGATGGATAAAAAATAAAAATTATTATTATTTTTTTTTGTGTTAACTAAGATTAGGAGTGATAATCGAGTCGTATCGTGTCAGATTCATGTTGAGTTATTACGAGTTTATATCAAATATTAGTCAAACTTAACTTAACTCATTTAATTAATTATATTGTGTCGAGTTGCGAGTTAATCTGTTTATTTTCGTATGGTGTTCAAATCGTCATTGTTTTAAGTCGAAATTTTTATCCTTCGTTAAAATGAAAAAAATATATATTTTTTAATTTAAAATTTAATTTTTTTTAATTTTTAATTTTTAATTTTTTTTTTAATTTTTAATTTTTAATTTTAATTTTTTTTAATATATACATATTTTATTATTATATTTTTATATAAAAATAATATATATATAAAATAATATATAGACAAATAAAATATATCTTAATACAAATAATTAAATTTTTATCTATTTTTTTTTTGATTTTAAAAAAATTAATTTTAATGCGTTAAAAAAAAAATTAATCAACCCACACTTTCCTTATTAAATGTTTTATTTATCTCCTAACTTGTCGTCCTCGTCCTTCCGATATTCATCGTACTAAACGGCCACCAGGAAGAAGTCAAGAAGAAGCGAGTTCTAGAGCTGGGATTGGGTATTCCATCGGCTTGGACATTAGCGTTCAGATTTGTTGACTTCGGAGCAGCCGCTACGCAGTAAAATTTGATCAACAGCTAAATTCACGATAGCTCGAGATCGCTTTCTCTCCGAATCCTGTCGAGATCTTAATTATTAAATGGCCAAATGTTCATGGGATTTTCGGTACCTTCTCCTCGCAGCCGCTATCGCATTCATCTACATCCAGGTCAGTTCATTGCTTCCGTTCTTCGGAAATTAATTAAATTTACACATTATATTCTGTATATGCGATGTAAATCCAGCTTGTTGATCACTTTACTGAACTATATGGTTCCTTTCGATTTGTTTGGATAGTGATGAATGTTGTATACGTCGCATATGGCTCTGTTCCATTTGAAGTTTGATGGTGAGGATTGTGTGGTACTGGATAGGTTTGATTTAATATCAGGTCCATCTTATCTGACTGAAATTACCATTTAGCCTCCTGCAATAAGTTTGTTGCTTGCACATGACATTTTAACAGAATCCTGCTAGCTTCCAAATTTCTTTTCGACCAGTTTACTCCCACTCTTATCCAGCATCTGCATTCATTGTTATACCCTTTTGTTGATGTAGGATAATATTTTGCAAATGATGTAAGATTATGTCATTTTATTTTTAAGCCTTATAGAATAGTTGTTCAGTGTATTGTCTTTTATATATTATCATCTGTTTCTTTTTCTCCCAGATGCGCCTTTTTGCCACACAATCGGAGTATGCTGATCACGTTGCTGCTGCTGTATGTCTAGCCTAATTCATGTCATTTGCTTATTTTTTCTACATTTGATTTTTTTATAGTATAGTATATGATTACCAATGCCAATACTCCCAGTACTTTATTATTGTAATAGTGCTTGCAGATCTTTGAGGACGTATCCTTAAAAGAAAAAAGCTCTTCCCCTCAAAATGGTGTACTGTATTCTAATAATAACCTACAGAAGCTTTCCTTCGTCATCCCATATCTTACAGCAAATGGCATTCTGTGTAACACTCTAATCCACTTTCCTTTAGCAATGACAAATAATTATCGCTAATAAAGGAGGATTGCAGATCTCGCTAATAAGATCGCAGGAATATGACAAACTAATTATCACAGAGATATGTGATATAAAACTTGGCATTCAGTAACTTTTCTAAAGGATACCAAGTGCAAGTTTTCTTCGTTTGGATTTGGGTTTCCAATTAGCATATAGATGCTCCCATGTATTGACAAGGACCCTCCAAAAGAATATAAGTTGAAACTTTTCTGTTCACTTAATCTAGTATTTGGGAATGGAAATGTGCCATGTTTGGCTTGTGCAAAATGGACTGCGTATTTCTACCGTATCAACAATTTCCGATTAGATTGTTCTCAGTTGTATGTTTTTTTTCTTTGATGCCTCTTATTTTTTACCCAAATATCACTCATAAAGGGTCAAATTTGGAGCACTTGCAAGATTCAATCCCCCAAATCAGTATGCCACGAGTTCATATTCAGTAAACACTGTCTCGAATTCAATTTTGGGAAATACTGCCTATCACCTCCTCTTCCAGACCTTAGTATTGGTGAGAGTCTTGCCCATTGGGTATGACTTTGATGACAGCATATAACTTTGATTAGGTTGTTTTTTCTAAATGTATATGATATGCTACGAAAAAGTGGTTACATGAACATCTATTACTTATAATAGGTTTTCAAGATTTGGTGGGTAGCACATAGGTTTTTTTCTTGATAAGTGGAATAGACTGGCACTCAATTGGGTAGAAAGGGGAAAATGCTAATTGAGGCAGATACCACGTCACATTTCAGAAACGGGGCCAACCATGTCAATTTCAAAAATATGTTTCATTCCCATTTTAATTAGTCTTTATTATTGCTTTCTATCCTCTTTGTTCTAGGGATGTGAATGCCGTGGCAGTGTTTGTGGGGCAAGTTTTATTACTTCCAAATATAGTACCTAACATACACTTGTCCATTGGATTAAAACAGGTGAAATCTGAAAATCATTGTACAAGTCAGATGCGATTACTAATTGATCAGATAAGCATGCAACAAGGACAAATTGTGGGCCTAGAAGGTGTGATCTATTTCTTAGTGCAATCTCGGGTGGTCTTTTCAATTTTGTTTCTATAAGATTTTATCTATTGCCTTTATTATTGCAAAGGAGGTTTTCGAAAGAGTCAAATTTGGATTTCCTACTCAGCATATATTATAGCAATTAAATACAATAGACGTTTCATATGCACTTACTGATGGTATACTTTATAACTCAAAAAAGAGAAGAACAATCAAATACTTGAGGTGTGCCTTCTTTGCTTTGGGAGTTTAATTCTCAAAAAAGAGAAGCTGCTACCATTTAAAAAGGTGGATGGCATTTTTTTTCTGGCCTCTATTTTGGGTTGCATGCAGCAGCTCATTTCTTTCTTTTGTGTTGGGGTTGTGGTTGGATTTTTTTCCTTCAAAAGCCAAAGCAGTGAAAGTTTGTGTGTGAGAGATTTAATGGGAGACTTTTATTTTGGAAAAGTCTGTAGGGCCCCTATAGAGAGAGGTTAACTTTTTTTTTTTGAGAAGCAAACTTGATGCTGTGCTATTGTATTTCCCATGATGTGCATCAGTATTTATTTTCGATAATGTCTCTTTGTTGAAAAAATGAGAAAAAAAAAAAAGGAGATCACCTTTATGCTATTCACTTTGAAAGAAGGAAGTGAGCAACTATGCCTCTTTTCTACAGGTGCTCGCATCATTCTCTTGTTTTTGCCTTGTGATTTTCCTTTTGGTTTTTCAATTATTAGATAGTAATAGCTGATTCACTGCACATTGACTTCCATTTTAGATTTATTATGTTACCTTTCTTATTAGTGAAGAGATATCAAGTAGTTATCTGGCCATCTATAACTAAGAACTTGATACAATTTCAGAAGAAAGGAAGCGAAAAGACGAGGAGTGCAGACAACTGAGGGCTCTTATCCAAGATCTTGAAAGTATGTTCTTCCATCAATGGCTCCTATTATTAGTTTCTTTAATACAGTTTTCTTCTCCTTATGCAAATCAGATTGTTATTACTATGTAACCTACACAGGTTAGTAAATGGGTTATTTCAGCTAAGGAAAGAATAGACCGCTTATTTAGACCCAACTTGGTCAAATATTTGATATCTCTTTCAGGTCCCTGTGTTATTTATTGATATGAAAGTAAAAATTGCTGGGTAGCAAAAAAGTCTATTTTGTCTATTTCACCAAAAATAACTGTCGACATCACATCCTCATTTCCACTCTCATTTTCATCTTCACTATCTGAATAATCTTTAACCTCATCCCAAACAAAGTGAATCCAAATAACCTTGCATTTTTTAGTCAAAGGCCCAACCCAAATCCAAATTTATGTGAAATGACAGTGAAGTTTGATGGAAAATGGGGTAGGCTACTGGGAGGAGCTAGAGCTCCTCTTGGCAGGGTTTCACAGAGTCATGCCATTGTCAAGGCCTTACCAAGCACTCTGTAGGAAAAGAGTCGTCAATGGGACTACAACTTGTCTATAGATGTTGGGATCCATAGATGGTCAGTATCTTCATGCACAGGGGGGATCTCTGCAAGTGTTTCATTGGGAAACAAGGCAACAACATCTCTATAAGTCTCCTAATAATAATGATGACCAAGGAGATGGGTATGATTTTTTTCCTGTTTCAAGTGCTTGCTAATAAACCTAGGGTTTTTAATAAGAGTGTAGCAGTAACTGCAGACACAGTTGAATCCCCACAGGGATTTTGTGGGCAGCCTTGAGAGTGGGGATGAAAAAATCATTGCTCTTTATGGTGCAATGGACAAAAGGGAAAGTCATGGACTAATGAAGCCTTTCACTATGACACAACTTTTATTGTTGGAAAAAAGCTCTCTTATGCTTCATGCCATTTTCTTCCACATTTTTGAAACTTCACTTTCAACTCTACCTATTTTAAGACCCTGGTACAAAGTCCTATCCTTTTACTTCCTCTCAGGCCGATAATTTACCATTTGTAGAAAGCAATCATTATATCATTACTTCACTATCAAATTCTTGTATTATTTGGTAATATTCTTGTGTTCTTTCTGATATACCATTGGCATCTCTCTCTCTCTCTCTCTGTCTCAATATATTCTTATGTATTATGCTTGCATGGTTTAATGCTGATATGCTGCTTGATGGTTTTGTTTTTCTGTTATATTGCAGGGAAAGGCATACAAAAATCGTTTGGAAAAATACAGGTTTCAATAGAACGGAGGATTTAATTGTTATTTCTGTTCATCTCTCTCCCTCTCTCTCTCTCCCTCTCTCTCCCTATGTAGAGTCATAACTCTTAGTCATTCCATCATCCATTTCTGTGTTTATCAGGTGCCAGTGGCAGCTGTTGTGGTCATGGCTTGTAATCGCGCTGATTATCTGGAAAGGACTATCAAATCTATCCTAAAGTATGTTTTTTGTTAATTATTTTTTTTTAGTTGTATTGCTTTCGCCTCGCATATTTATAATTGACCATCTTTGGCAAAATTCTTCTTATTTTTCAGATATCAAACTCCTGTTGCATCAAAGTATCCACTTTTTGTATCCCAGGTACACATTGTTAGGAATTCTTGTTGCAACTTGTTTAGTTAGTCTCATCTGGATTAATTTCTCATTTGATGAGAATGAGGAGGAATGTGTATTTGGCAACTTAATTTAGTTCTTTTGCCCTTTATTCCTCCAAGGACGGATCAAATCCTGATGTCAGAAATAAGGCTTTGAGTTATGATCAGCTGACCTACATGCAGGTAGTTGTTTCCTTTTAATCTTCTGTTGTAGCATGTAGATAACTAGGAATATTGCACAGCCTATATGTTTCAAACTCATCCAATATGTTGATTGGAAATTTTCATTGGTGCTTTTTAGTTTTGTGTCTAATGTTAGAAGCCTTGAGCTCATATGCAACTTGTATTTTGAGAGACAAATGAAATGTATTTGAGCTGCACATTTCTTTTTTGCCTACTGTGCAATTCTGCAAGTAAATGTTGATGACCATAGTATAGAGCAAGTCCTATGGGGTTCATTCATTCTTTATGTTTATATTCAAAATGACCTTTTTACTGCAATATTTCCACAATAAGTGTTTGAATCTGGTATGTCTAATCTGGGCATTCATGTGAGAAAATTGAATAGTCATAACTATATTACCTGGAACTTGAATTATGTATGAATACTGGAAGTGTGAAAACACAATTGAACATAAATTTTACGGTTTCAGCTTACTGCCTTACGTGGCTAGAGACTTATTAATTCATTTCTCTTTTTTTCCTGGCTCAATTCTCGGATTTAATTTTTTTCTAGACATTTGGAATTCACATATACAGTAGCAATCTAGAAGATTGAAATCTTGTACTTCATCTCCAACCTTTCTAGATACTGGCCTCTAAGGACTTCATGAAATTTATAAAAAGAATACAAAGCATACGAGTAATTAAGTTCTAATGGCATCTCATATTTTTCAAGTTCATATTTGTATCATCAATATCATGTCATACAATCAAAAAAATAATACAAATAAAATCTGAAAATAGAAAATAAACAGTTCACATATTTATTTCAAACAGAAAGTAAATTGTATGTACTTCAAGTTAGAAGGTCAGTATTATCTTAATGTATTTTTGAGCTTAATATAATAAAGTCATTCAAAAGTGTTTTACACTTGCTGCAATTAAAAATTATTTATTTGTTATTTGTTTTAAATATGCACATAGAGTTATAAATATAAATATTGATAAATGAAGAGATATTTAATTTTTAAAATGGTAGTAGTGTTATTGATTGATAATTGTAAATACATATCTACATTTATTTATTTCAGTTATTAGATAAAAATAAACATAATAATGAGTCATAAATTAAAAGAAGACATTGGGGATTAATAAATTATTAAGGATAAAATGATCAATTAAAAGTTTTTCACGTTAAGATATTTTTACTAGTAGTATACATTCTTGGAGTATGTAAAGTGATCCTTTGTATTTAGTAAAATCACAAAGTTAAATGGATTAATGAGTTAATGTATTATGACGAATCATTCTTGTAATGAAATATAATTCTATTAAAATGGGCAAGTAATAGAATCGTGAGAAAGCATTTGTTCAATAATGCTTCACTTCCTCCATTGATTCAGAGCAGGAAAGAAGAAAAAATGTAAAGTAAATCATTTTTGAGGAAAAAGATAATATGAAAATAAGAGAGAAATGTCTTGATTCAACGCATCATTTCCCTCCTCTTTTCATGCATCAGATTTGAAAGATTTTGGCAGAAAATATGACGCGATTTGTCTTTGGTTTCATTTTTCTTTCCATTTGCTTTCCTTCTCCAAATCTGCAAACCTAAGGGAGTGTGATTGTCATTTAATTTATAACTTGATTTGATGTGTTGAAGTTCTTCTAGGTGCAGCATGCTGCTCGTGGCTTCTATTTTTATCAACTCGTCTAATATTTGTAGTGTTAGCATATGAGGTGCACGTATGGAGCATTATGCTTGTCTCAGAGAGCATAAGGGGATGTTAAATTGATAGCAAACACTTTGGCCTGTGAGCCTCTTTAAGTCTCATTAAGTCTCAAGGTTGTTCGATGAGGCATTTTCATTGAGCTCACTTCACTATGTCTGTCGAGCTGATGTGTAAATCTCAAAATCCTAGCATCTGCTTGAAATTTAATGCATGTTTACAGAAAACTGGATTGGACTACTTGTTTTCTTTTTCCTTTTCTCATGTTCTAAATGTCTCCTTCAAAAATGGCGTCAGAAAAGTTCCTATCTGCACTAAATTGATGGCTAAATAAATTTATTGCAGCATTTGGATTTTGAACCTGTACATCCTGAAAGGCCTGGGGAGATAATTGCATACTACAAAATAGCGCGTAAAGATTGTTTATGAAGATTTTCCCCTTTCCTCTCTCTCTCTCTCTCTCAAGATAAATTATCTTCCCCAACTTCCATTATTTGAGAACTTGTTTTTGTAGGTCATTACAAGTGGGCATTGGATCAGTTGTTTTACACACATAATTTTAGTCGAGTTATTATCCTTGAAGGTGCACATGGTCTTCCTCTTGAACTATTGTTTTCACTGGGTACTGTGAAGCTCCATGCTTAAAATATGTCTTAGAAAAATGCAGATGATATGGAAATCGCTCCTGATTTTTTTGACTATTTTGAGGCTGGATCCATCCTCCTCGACAGTGATAAGTGAGTCTTGCATGTTGAATTGATTTCTTACTAGCTAAGTTTAGTATTAGAGCCTCAGAACCTCTTGTGGCACTTTCTTGGTGTGAAATCATTGTAGGTCCATTATGGCTATTTCTTCGTGGAATGACAATGGGCAAAAGCAGTATGTTCAAGATCCTTGTAAGTTTCTTTGTTTCTTCAGATTGCTGTGCAACTTCTTCTGGTTTTTTCAGCCACCTGACAACCTCTGTAATGGCGTCAATTTGTTACTATTTGTGTTCCTCTAAAGAGATTGTTGCTTCCAATGTTCTTCATAAGACATCATATTTTTCATGTTCTTCGGAAGACTAATCGTAAATTGTAGTTAAAGCTATAAGTTGCTCTGGCCCTTTATATTTAAAGATTGATTTGTTTTGGTTGCTGGGATGTTGTTGGCATTCTGTTTGATGTGGTCACAACATATTAATTGTGTACCTCGTAGTGTCTTTGATACGTGCCACCCCAAATTTGTCACAAATATAATTTTGTCACTGTTCTTTTCTAGCCGCCTAATTCTAAAACACCTATCATAAAATGTGATTGTGTGCAGACAAGTCAACTGGGAAGACATTCTTTTCGGCCACCACCTTCCTTCTGTCCTCTTTGTAGCATCTATTTGACTGAAATTCTATTGCTTCTCATTATCAGATACATTAACATTTTGTCGCACATGAATAATCATTGAAACTCATCTCATTTTTCACATATTGATGCTTTCCCTAAGTGCTCACTTAGTGATGCATTCCCAATTCCGGGTTAAGTCTCTTTTTTGGTAAATCTGACCTATGTTAGTCTTGCTACTCATGAATAATTCATTTGTCATGAATTTCCGTATGGTTACAAACCCGTTCTATTGGCATATTTTTGGATAGTCTAAATGCGTTACCTGTATTTGCACTTTTAAAATAATAAACTTCATGTGCTGATATGCATAAATTCCTGTGGGAAAAAGGTTGGCAATCTCTTGATTATTCTCTCGACCACAAACACTGAAAATTATTCTCTGATCTGCTGTGATACTCTTTGCAGATATACTTTATCGCTCAGACTTCTTTCCTGGTCTCGGGTGGATGCTCTCTAAATCTACATGGGATGAACTATCTCCTAAGTGGCCAAAGGCATATCCTTTTAGCTAGTGTATTGGTTTCTGGTTCAAACTTCAAACCTACCAGTTTTCTTTTCTTTTCTTTTTTAATTCACATGCATCTCTTTGAAGCAATTTCTTTGACAAAAGACTCACTTACTGGGATGATTGGTTGAGATTAAAAGAGAATCACAAAGGGCGCCAGTTTATTCGGCCCGAAGTGTGCAGAACATATAATTTTGGTGAGCATGTAAGTATGTCCTAATTAGTGTGAGAGTATCTGTTTTTCAGCAGCACACCCCAATCATGGGCTTAACTATATGTGTTTGAACTAATGCCAGTTCATTTCAGTTGAAATAGTAAAAGTTATATTAGGGTTAGAGAGAAAGAGAGAAGGAGAGAAGAAATTGAGACAGAAGAAAGAGAATAATCAGTTGTGTAGACAATTCTGCCCTACACTCTCTTATTTATAATAAGATGACATTATGAGCAATTGCATTATTGCCCTGCAATACTACTAATCTAAAATAAGAACTCTTAACAATTTCTATGTTTGAAAATGCTGCTCATCTCCTTCACAAGTGTTGATATAGCAAAATTAACCAGTGGACAGTACACTAATTTCTATAATTTGAAGGATTTAGTACATCCTGACTCCTTGAGGGTTGTCTTTAATTACATGGACCCCCTTAGGTATTGTAAAGAACACTTTCAGACCCTGTCACCACCATTTCAAAGAGAAAAGTAATATTAGTGCAAAAAGACAGATATTGTTGGTTAATAAGAAACAACTTATCATTGTTCCAAAATGTTTTAAAGTATTAACCTTGTAAAGAACTTCGGAAAAACTCATGGAAATTTATGAAAACATTTGCTTCTAGAATTTTTGTAGTTTTACTTGTGGTGTTGAAACCTTTCTTTTTCAATTGATCATGCAATGTTTTACGTACAATTATATGTCTTTAATTATTTCCTGAAGGTTACATTCTCATTTGTTAAACATCATTTAGTGCTTCATTTTAGTTGGATTACAGGTTCTTAATTTTCAATAAGTTTCCTGTTCAACACATGTTTTAATTGCAGTAATGGAGGGTTGAATATTTTTGGTGTAAGAATATTTTTCTCTCTCGCACATAACCACACATACACACCTTAGTATTGTTTATTGATCTCCAAGCTGACCAGAATGGAATCTACATTCATGTAAATATTATTTCCAACTTATCTATGTTTTAGACTATATTTTTTATGTTTCTCTACTTGGAGTTGGAGGGCAATACCCAGATATAGTTTCAATCTTTAACTTTCTGCCTCGTGTCCTCATGAGTATAGTTTTGTTAAAATGTTGCTTCCTGCACGCTAATTGATTTCCTTGCAGGGTTCTAGTTTGGGGCAGTTTTTCAAACAATATCTTGAACCTATTAGGCTGAATGATGTCCAGGCATGTAATTGTCATGTACCTTTTTATCTGTCTGATTTTCTTTCTGCATTTCTCTCTCAATATCAATGGTTTTTGCTGCTTTTTCTGGAAGGTTGACTGGAAATCAATGGATTTGAGCTACCTGATGGAGGTATAGAACACATTTTGAAGACTCACGAGTGCGTGCATGTGTGTGTGTATTGAGCTCTTGGGAATTCATAATTCTGCACATTGGCCTACTAATGTTGCTTCACTTTCCTAGGACAAATTCGTAAAGCACTTTGCTGTCATGGTTAAGAAAGCAAAACCTATCTATGGGACTGATGCTGTTCTCAAGGCATATAATATAGATGGTGATGTGCGTATTCAGTACAAAGATCAGGCAGAATTTGAAACCATCGCTCGTCAATTTGGGATATTTGAAGAATGGAAGGTGATTCAGTTCCCTTATTTTGGCATGTTTTGTTTACACTAGAACCAAACACAGATAACTTAGGTTGAATTTTTCTTTTGGTTGAATTCAGAAAGAGCTATTGATGTGTTAATTTAGTGGACTCTGAGCTTCAAGAGAGAGCTTGGTCATCTCTTCAATGCCGTACTGTTGCAATTTCTATCAATTCATTAGGCATACCTCAGACTATTCCTTGTTGGAGTTCTATAGGCTCATTGTTTCCTGTTTGTGGCAAGTAGTTTGCTTTAATTTTATTCTAGTGGAACTATGCTGGACTGCAGTTACGTGTCCTTGCCCAAAGTTTTGTTATGTATTTCTCTCCCATAAATTAACGCCTCCATTTTCCCTTTTTCAGGATGGTGTACCTAGGACGGCATATAAAGGAGTGGTTGTTTTCCGATACCACGCCCCAAGGTGTGTGTTTTTTGTTGGCCCAGATTCTCTCCAACAGCTAGGGATTGAACAATTGTGATACCAAATGAGGTTAGTGAGCAAATGCCACTGGTATGTGCATTGTAATTCAAGTAATCTTTTATTGACACCTTTGGAGTTTTGAGTCTTTTGAACAAAACCTGACATCCAATATGTTTCTTTCTTCATTTAGACACCAATGGTGAAAGGTAGTCTCAACTGATAGCTATGAACGTTTGTCTTCCCCCTTCCCCTTTTATTGGCTCAGTTAACAGAGTTCCAAAGAGACAGCGGTTCTCAATCAATGTCAGGAGTGAGATGTGAAAAAGAATTACTTCAGCAGTATATGAATTCACTGTATTATCACATGGGGCAACGATGAACTATTAACAATTGCCACATATTTGCGCTCCTCAAGTTTTGATTGGTCTATTATAGGAAGAAACGATGGTTTATGTTGTAGGTTTTGTAGTTCCTATTTTTTAAAAATTGTAGTTTGTCGTCTTCAACCAGTATCTTCTGGGTCAATACGAACACCGATGCTCAATGTATGGTAACTTTAGACATCATACATATTGGACAAGCCCTTTTGGCCAGGTGGTATCAGGTTGGACTCTCAACCTTCATGTTAGGATTTCAAATTTCTTAGTTTTATATTTTTTAAAGAAAACAGACGCTGGATGATATTGCAGAACTTAACAATTATAGATGAGTTGTCGCGCATTTCTTTGTGCATGGGTTTTGTAATTAAAGAAATGTTTTGTTTTGCAAGTCGCTAATGGGTTGCAACTCTATTTGGTGGGTTTGGGATCATTACTAGTCAGGTCCTATATCTTCGACTGGGCACCTCTGTGCCAGAATGCAGAAGGTCCTTGTCTTATGCATGAAAAAAAAAATCCCTATTCTTGACTCGTTAGTAATTTTTTTGCCTGTAGAGTGTGCTTTGTACATGATATGTCTTAAGCTCTTGAGGTATTAATGGCACTTCTGGATCAAATTGCATTCGACTTACTGTTGTCATCTGAGGAAAAGATCCTCCTGTTTCCACTCACGCTTTACATGAAATGAATGTTTCACACACTTTATGATGGAGAATGTGTTAGGAAATGGTTTTCGTCTAAGCCTTAGTACTATTACTAGGCAATCTCCGAAAGAACAGCGTGAAATCCCTGTTCATTTGAGATGGTCTCGAGTAAATTATTGTCAAAGATTGATGTACTTTGATTCATGGAATATGATTGATACTCAAGTTACTGCATATGTCCGATCACTTTGTGGGGGCAGTTGTGTCCAACTAACTTCAAGGTGCATTCTTAGTTTTGTAGGGTATATTAATCGCAAAGTTTTATTATAATGAAATTTTAAGGTAATTGTCAATGTCATTTGCAGTACACAAGGATTAAAAGAAAGGCCTAAGGTGCAAAAGTTAGCATAGCATCAATGGCTAGGCTGAAGAAAGGTAGCCTTGTTCCTTGAAAGAAGCAATGCAATCGTCAAACATCTCTTCAATAGACTTGAACTTAAATCCCAAACTCTTCAGCTTAGAGGTGTCCAACTCATAATATGGTCGACCAAGTCTCTTAAACCTGGAATAGTTGGGGGGAGAGAAAAAAAATATGTAATATCTTCTGGGCGTGGTTTAGTAATATTCATTCAATCAATGGTAGGTTTGTCAAAAAAAAAAACCTCTTTGGAATAGGTAGTGCCGGATAGCGAGCTGATAGAATTGATGCTAGCTGCATATTGTCAACGACAGTGGAGCTGCAGAGGTAACGGCCGTGAGCATTTTGGTGCTCAAAAACAAGGATGTGGCAGAGGGCGACATCATCAATGTGCACAAACCCCATCCTTCCGTGCCATTCAAATTTCTCTGTCTCTCCTGTTTTATTCAACAGTAACAGGTTGCAACAATTCGTGTGTCGTCAGATTGGCTTTGGACGTAAGAGATCAGGAAGGAACACTGACTAGTTAGTGAGTTGGTCAGTTAGTTACTACCGAAGTACCTACCTTTAAGCAAGCCAAGGACATCAGCTGCTGTGGAACATAATTCAGGAGGCAAACTAGGTCCGACAACAAACGAGGGGAGAAGGGTCACCAGATCGATCTTGTTTTCCTGGCAGAATTGCCATGCAGCCCTCTCAGCCAGGGTTTTTGATAGAGCATACCAAATCTGTACAACAGTCAACATCGCCACAAATTAATGGCAGTTGATAAAGCCGAGGAGGTCCTTTTTGGCAAGCAACATATATATACGTGTGTGTGTGTGTGTGTGTGTGAATGGAAAACTGAAAGTGGAGGAATACCTGGAGTCTTTCACAAAGCTCCACGGAACTCCAAGATGACTCGTCCAAGGGTATATTTGGATCAAAATCATCTCTTGCCCTTACAGTGGAAGATGACGAGGTGAGAACCACGCGCTTTAGTGATGGATTCTTTTTACAGGAGCGTAGCACATTTAATGTTCCCTCTATTGCAGGTTTCAAGATTTCAACCTAATCGCAAAATTAATTTAATGAGTAATGCTATATGGACTTAAAAAGTAGACTTAAAAATTAGATTTGATAATTTCAATAATTTAATGAGTAATGCTATATAGACTTAAAAAGTAGATTTAAAAATTAAACTTGATAATTTCAATCATTGATTTCACTATGGATCCCAGTATTTATTGAGACCCACTACCTATTTAATGATTAAAATTATCAAGTCTAATTTTTAAATCTACTTTTTAAGTTCACGTAGCATTACTATAATTTAATTAATACACTCACTAGCCCATCAATCACCAAAAGTAAGAATCTATTGAGGGGGGAAATTAATTAATTAATATTTAAAATGCCTTGGGATCAGAGGTGGGTCGCCCAAGTACAGGCGAAGCGCTGTGAAAGACGCCATCGCATCCCATGATTGCATCGTCAAAGCTGCCCTCCTCCACTAGATCAGCCCTCACCAAACGGAGTCTCTCCTTCGCTCCCTCCAGCCTCCACAGGTGCGCTACTTTCTCCCCGTTTCCTACTCATTCATACATCAATCACACAAACTCATGATCAAAACCATTAGGAGGATGCATGCAGCTGCACGTTAATTTTTGTTTTGTCACAGAGACAGAGAGAGAGAGAGAGAGACCTGGGTCTCTAACTGTTCCAATGACATGATAACCAGACAAGAGAAGTCGCTTGATCAGCCAAGAAGCCAGAAAACCAGAAGCCCCTGTCACACAAACTCTACCCTTGAATTCAAGCTTTTGATCCTCCATATTTTCCTTGGCTCAGAGATAGGGAAGTCCCCACCCCCAGTATTTTGTCTCGTGATAAGCAGCCGCACCACCCACACCGGCCCCCACTCCCAGTTGAGTATGTGATTTATATGCCAAGTAAGGCCTCTGGCACGTCTTTTTGGTCTTTAGGAGAAGGTAAGTCATCTCATGCTTGTGGTTCCAAAAAAAACGATGAAGAGGAAAGAGAGATATCAAACCCAAATTATGGTTAGAAGTAGGCGATGCAGCCAAAAGTAGTGAGTGCTCCATGAATTTCATACAATAATCAGCCCAACGCTGAGCATCCTCAACTAAATGTTTTTTGGAAACCTCGCTAAAACAACCTACACTACTCAAAAACTTTGGAGCTTTTACCTCATTTTTATGTTTGCTAATGCTAATACACTGTGATCAGTGTATTTAATAATGAAATTCACCGATAATCTAATGACAATAATTATTATTTCTCCCAAATTATTTACCAATAGTGTTGATTGAATTGAGATTATTTTGTTTTATTTTATTACAGGGTATTCAGATTTTCGCCGACTACTCTCTCAAATTCGGCGATTGATCATCGTAACTTAAACTAATCTAAAATGTCTCTAAAAAGACAAGAATGACTAACCCTCAAAGAATGTTAAAAAAAATTAAACCTTAAAACCTCTAAATTACCAAAACACCAATCCAGTCACTGAACCACCCCTAAAAAAACCCTTATTGATTGCATTGATTAAACAGTTTGCAAGGCCCTGAAACACCTCGATTGTTGTTGGTCAAGTTTTTGAATCATATTTTTCACAAACAACCGGCTAGCATTCAAATGCTATCATCTGATCCAAGTTGAGATATTTACCAACAGAAATTCTTTGAATGGTTAACTATGACCCATGTTTCAATTTTCTACCTCCAAGTAAAAATATATATTGATTGGCCCCTCCAACCATGCAACATTGATTTATGGCCAGACGAAGGGATGGAAGGAGACGGTTACCTTGCTTGGCAATGCTTTTTTTTAGTACTAAAAAATTGAACTTGTTGATGCTCCCCTCTGGAATAATTGACAAGAATTCTCAACTCGAAATATTAGAAAGTGCAAAATTAATGGATGTCAAAGTTGCTACAATTGTTCCTAATCAAATATATCCTGTCTGACTTTAATGTGACAGGTAAAATACAAAAATAAATAAATAAACTTCATGCAAATTGTACGCAACATGTACCACTTAATCAAGACAAAACCTTATTTCAAACCTTATTTCACCGACTCGAGGATGAACCTGGTCCGGCGGTAATGGACATAGGCTTGGGCTGGTAAAGGACAGATTGATTGGCAGTTGTGAACACTAGCAGGCCATTATCCGACTAACAAATGGAACCCGCACTGTTCAGGACGGAGGGCCCATCGACATGTGTAAACCACACTGTATGGTACATCAGTAGACCAAGGTTCGAGTCATGGCTGCAGGTGACAAGCGGGTAAGCACAATGTCCTGTAATTTTTAGGTAACATGGGCAAGCCAAGGGAAAATTACAATCTTCCAATTTATAATCATCATCTCCCAATCTGCTATTTTTACCAAAAAGGTCTATTCAATCCCTATTACTGTTTAGAAAGTTGCCAAATAAGAGAATAGGAAAACTTAATACCATAGACCCGAACATTGCTATTGAAGCTTTAAATAGAGCACGCAACTGACATTCTAATATTGCTACCCTAACAACATCACAGAGAAAGGCATAATTCCACTAGTTTTGATTGGAGTTACAATAACACATCTTATAAAATCACGATAACAAATGCCAGAACTTGTAAAAGAACAAATCAGTACCTCCTGCAGCATAAACGTTGCAATATTCAAACAAAATTGTGGGGCCAAAATTCTTTCGTGTGTGTGTGTGTGTGAGGATGAGAGAGGGAGATCACTTGGTCACGAGCATTCCATCCGCTGTCGTTTAACAAAATTATGATCATGTTCTTCGTACATGCTTTTCTTCCTATTTTCATCTTCATTTGTAGTAATAGGCTCCTCCTCATCACAGTTGGACTTGAAAGTCCAACCAGGAAAATCAGACTCCGAAAACAAAGAGGTGGGAGTTGCATTGTAGAATGCCAATGGTACCTGTTTAATTCTTCGTCCAATCTGAAATTTAAAATTGAAAGTGTAAGAGGCTATCATGTAGCCCACAAGGAAGACACATTACTTTCAGCGTAAAAATAGTTTTCGGGCAAAGCAACAAGCTTGGTGACATAGGATAAAAGGACAATAGGCTACATTCAAAAAAACATCAAACTAAGCAGGCTGTTTTATCTTACGTCAAAAGAGATACTGGTGAACCTATGCAGTACAGCTATAACAGCATTTAATGTCCAGGGAAGTAATGCTAAGACCATATTGGATGCTAAAAAAGGTTCAGAAAAGTGAAAATGCCCCCACAATATACCAAGTAATTCATCAATCACCAGAGACATGTCGACAAAGATTTACCGGATAACCTCTTGGGGTCTAATGAATATAAATTGAACGTGAAAAGCAATGGCGAAAAAATTATCATTTTATAAGGAAAAATCTCATCCACCCCTCCGATAATTAGGTCTAAATTCAATAAAACTCCCTCTCAATTCTGAAACTTCACTATACCCCTTTCTAATTTATACTTTCAAATCAATGACACCCCTTTAACTGTAATTTTTGTCTCTGTCAGTAAATAAAATAATGATTTGACTAAATATTTTGTGAAAATACTAAAATTACCCTTTATTATGTAAATAAACACAAATGCACTCAATCATTTCCACATTATATATGCCCTAACTAGCCGGCAAATGTGATTTCTATTATTATATTATCAAAATGAATTTTTATCATTTTAAAGTGTTGCATGATAACTTTGTTATAACATTAATCATCATATTGTCACTCATTTCGTTACATAATCAAATTTTTATAATTTTTATAGTTAAAAATGATTTTTCTATAATAAAAATTATAATCGATAAAGTCCATGTCAAAATCCCATCCATTTCTAACTCCTCTACCATCATCTATACTCCACAACATCACTCGATCATTCTTCACACATCACCCTTCATATATAAATTTTAAATATTAATTTGATAAAATTAAATATTAATTTAGTATTGATTTGATAAAATTTGATGTTAATTGAATAAATTTGAATATTGCTTTATTGAAATTGAATGTTCATTTGGGCTTAAATTACAAAAATAACATTAATTTGATAAGATTAAATGTTAAATTAATGGAATTTAATATTCTATTTAATATATTAAATTTTAATTTAATAAAATTGAGTGTCAATTTAGCGCTGATTTAATGAAATTAAATAGAAATTTAATGTTAAATTAAAGAAATAACATTAATTTGATGAAATGAAATATTAAATTAATCTATACTACTCCAAAATATCAACATATGTGAAAAACATATTTTTTTTCACTTTAATCCCCCAAAACCACAACTATGGCATTCTTATCCCTCAACATTAAAGTCAGAATAAACTTATTATCAAGTAAAACTATATCTTCACTCTATTTTTGCCATTATAATTCTTTTTCTCTCTCTCCCTTTCCTATGTATTTAACCAGCCACACGATCTCTCTTCATCTACCTCCCCCCCCCCCCAACCTTTTTAACATTTCTATGAAGCCACCTTTGTTATTTAATTAATAATAATAATCATCCTATATATAGTCGCCACACATCCAAGAGTCATTTTGTAACAGGTAACAACATAACATGGTCACTCAACAGTCTCATGCCCTTTTGTTTTCTCTGATTCACTCTCTCAATTTCCTTTTTTTTAGCTTTTTCCAGAAATTAAATTCAAATGCTCATATTCCAGATGACATACAATTGTCCTCAACTCATTTTCTAATGCCTTTTTTCTTTTTTAGCTAGGTCATCTTCTCTTTGTTCATCTTCTTTATCTTCTTTTGTTTCATCCTCTGTTCGGAAGTCATGGGTTTTTGGCCACCATCGCTGCTCAGTGTTTACGAGGTTGCTTCCACTTACTGCCAGGGACTTTTATGGTGATCATATTGCCATAGGAGGGCTTTATTGATAGCTCACATATTCAATTGAACACTTGAAGTTGCTTTATTTTGCAAAATATTATTCCCCTTTATCGTTTTTGAATTGACAATTGTATTCTTCTTTGTTATGTATTTTACTTTTTCTTGCATTAATTGATTTTCTTACTGGCTCCTATTTTTGTTCCATGCTGATGTATATGACATGCATACCAAGTGATCATATTTTTGTATACCAAACTAATCAACGCAATCTTGGTGTACTTGGTTAGAAGATGCTCTCTTGTAAGAATTCAATTTTTGTGCACCGTAATTGAAGTTGATGATTGCCTTTGGTGATTCATGCATTTGGCAATCTATTGTTAAAGATTTGGCATTGACCCTATTTCGGAGGTCAGTACATATTTTTAAATTACAAGTTTGGTTGTTTAATTATGTTATGCTCATTTTGTAAATTTTTAGATAAGCGCACTTTATATATATATATATATATATAGGGCAGTTATGTACTGCAAAATAGTAGAGTAGAATCCCAGAACCAAGACTGTTGATTATTTTTGACTATATGCTATCGATCTGACGATTCAATTCCTACGTTGAAAAAGTGATCGTTCAATCGTTTAAAGGACTGTTGTCATATCTATTTTAAGTACTAAATTTTTTACTGGTCTCATAGTTTTATTTTTGTTCAGCTTCCTTATGTATATTCCTTGTTTCCCATGTTCAACTTGTACCAAATGCAAATGGAGGCCAATCTCCATTTCCAATTCATACTCACCTTTGTTTCTTTGTTTTAGGTTTGTGTTTCACATTATTTTTGGTGTTTAATGAGGTAGAACACGTGTCTTTATTAGACCAGTTCAATTGAACTAGTAGTATTTACGCACCAGTTAAATTTTATCTGTTGTTTGGATAGTCTCAAATTTTGAATTGATAGTTCGATATATTTGAAAACTACATCTCTATAATAACAGTTTTGTTCATAAAATCCCTACACAACTTAAACGTTTGTCAAGATTGCAAACATTTATGTGGTTCAGAATTTTACTATGTTACTTTTGATTGAGGTCCCTTTATTGATCATTTTGTGTATTCAAGATATTAGACCATGGATTATATTTTGGAGCTCTACTATTCCATTTGAGTTCATTAGAATTGAAAGCCACATGTATGGCTTAACATTGATTGGATCCTGCTGCTTTCCTCTCAAATGTAATAATTGGGGCATGGACTTCAAAGTACATTTATATACATTTGGGAAACAATTTGTAATTCTTACGTTAGTATGTTTATGATACAATATGCCAGGTATAGTGTTATGTAGCTATTGGTTGTAGTTTGGGCTAAAAGATGAAGTTTAGTCTACTTTGTACTCTGCTATTCCATTTGAGTTCATTAGAATTGAAAGCCACATGTATGGCCTAACATTGAATGGATCCTGTTGCTTTCCTCTCAAATGAAATAATTGGGGCATGGAATTCAAAGTACATTTATATACATATGGAATACAATTTGTAATTCTTACGCTAGTATCTCTATGATATACATTATGCCAAGTACAGTGTCATGTAACTATTGGTTGTAGTTTGGGGCTAAAAGATGAAGTTTAGTCTACTTCGTACTCCATTGCTTAAATCAAATATGCATGTAGGTTAGAATTGAAGCTCACTATTAGTTCCATATTGTGGAATGATTATGCAACTCAAATGCCAAGAAAATTAAGTGGGAAGCTATCCATTTGAGATGCTCTTTTTCATTTCTTTTTTTACAATTTTTCCGGATCTTTTATTTGCTTGTGTTATCTTTCTTTTCTTGTTTTTTCAAGAAAAAAGCTCTAATTGGGATGTCTGTAATTTGGTTTATATTCGTATTTTCTTTTTTTTTTGTTTCATTGTTTCTTAATTTTATAGAACATGCAAGCAGATTAGACACTTGTTACAATTTATTTAAAAATTATAACTAGATCCTCGACAAAAACAATACATTTCAAAGCGTATTATCAACAGTTTGCTATGGAAACAATTTTTTTTATTTTTTTTTTGTGAAAATTGGTCCTATACAATTGTATACAATATTTTATTCTTAACACGGTCCACACATTGCACGTGGACATCAACTAGTATAACTAATGCTAATTTGATAAAATTAAATATCAATTTTGTGTTGATTTAATGAAATGAATTGTTACTCTAGTTTAAATTAAATAAAGGCCATAAATTTGATAAAATTAAATATTAATTTGTGTTGATTTGATGAGATGGAATGTTAATTTAGTTTAAATTAAATAAAGGACATTAATTTGATAAAATTAAATATTAAATTGATCAACCTAAAGGTTAATATAATAGAACTAAAAAGGAGTACATTGAAATTTTAGAATCAAAAAGAGGTGTTGTTAAAGTTAAATCTATTTACAGGGGATGTTATTAAAGTTAAGTCTATTTACTAGGAGTGTAGATAAATTTACCCTATAAAATGCTTAGGAGTATTTCTATAAATCAACCATCGTCGTTAAAGCCGTAATCCAATAATCACTGACAGAGGGTGACAGTTAAATTTTAGAATCGAAAAGAGATGTCAACAAATTTAGACCTAACTACAGGAGGTGTGGATGAAATTTTCCCTTTTAATAATTATCACTAATTTTATATCAATTTAAGCTGTCAAAAGAATATTTGAATGTTCGGCAAACATTTGCAATAATTACCTCCTCTCCAAATATTGTCCCATATGAACCAGAACTGAAATCTTTAACTGCAACTTCAGTGGTTTTGGCTCTGACTGTCAAATCATTCTCAAGCGACAAAACAAATCTAATAGCACAAAAATGAGACTGTTATTTAGAAGACACATTAAATGATGTAACAAAAATAGACAGAGACACACAACAAGCAGAGAGAGGGCGATTACCGTGAAACTGGTGGGCAGTACTGATGACGGAGGGTGTCGATCTCCCAAAGAGAACTTCCTGTCGAAGTGTTCCATAACACCTTAAATTGGGATGATAAAACCAGTGTCGGTGTCTGCGTTTTTATGTGCGTGCGCGAGCGCGTGTGAACACATAATAACATCTACCTACGTAAACTCTAATCAATTTTACTATCTTTTGTGGCTTAGTACATTCAGGGCCTGGAACCTGATAATCAAAATGTTCATTGTACTAGAGAGGCCTCCCTAGGTCACCAAATCAAGCATAAGTGGAATTACAGACAGGAAATCTCGTGTGTATAACATCAGACCATCACGCCATCAAAATCATTGAAATTCAACATATGAATATATGTTTTCTTTAAAAAGAGTAAATTCGTAACATTCAGAAGAATAGTTCACTTCCAAAGATAAAACATCAACCATACAGGCAACTGAACCAAGGAGACCAACTACCCCATGCAAAAATATTTTATATGCTAAAGAGCCAAATCGTAGTATGTCAACACTGCCACTTTAGGATGACAAATCCATCTGACCATCCTCACATTTAAAATTAGTTCTTCCAGAGAAGTTATTGACTAAGAAGGTGTTCTTTGATAAAATTTAAAGCTGAAAACTGAATGCTGAATTTTAAATACTGAATGCTGAATTTTAATTCGTGGAATGTTTGGTACGTACTGAAATTTAAGTACTTAATTAAATCAAACTTTTTGATAACTACAGAGTTAACGTCTAAAAATAAATTATAGTTTTATCCTTCCACTCTTTACTTTGAAAAAATTTATAAAATATGCATTTATCTAATAAAAAAACTACAAAATATCAATACAAGTAATTCATAACATAAATCATAATCATTATTATCATATTGTAGTCAAGGAACGAAATCTCGTGTCGAAACATCCGAAACGTCCGAAACGTTTCGGAATTTCAACACACCGACACGAAACAGGGGATGAATACTAAAATTCCAATGTTTAGTTCGAATCGGCAGTGTATCGGACCGTTTCGGTCGAATCGGTACCGTTTCCATCGAAACAGTACAGATTGGATGTGGTTCACTCCAGGTAACAAAAAAACAAAAAAACAGAGATGCCCTTTCACATGTCGGTCAGAATTTAACAGAGAAAAAATCGGGAGTCACATGAGGCACATAAATCACATGAGGCACAGAAATCACAAGAATTTAACAGAAATCACATGAGGCACAGAAAGCAGATTCCTTCCACAAGTCAGTCCAATTTAACAGAGAAAAAATCGGGAGTCCAGATTGAAGGAGATTCGGGAGCTCGAAGAGACAGAAAGCATTTTGGATCAAAATCGGGAGCTCGAAGAGACAGAGAAATTGAAGGAGAAGACTAGAGGAACTAACCTTGAGTCCAGATTTCAGGAGATTCAGCCATTTTCGGGTTTTCCACGCAGATCTAGGGCTCGAATTTTCCACGCAGAGCCTTCGCCATCGCCATCGCCATCGCCGAGGTATCTTCTTCTTCTTCTTCTTCTTCCTCTCTCTCTCTCTCCCATCGTTGCGACCAAAACACTCGGCTGTGGTGTGAGTGTTTTGTCTGAGTCGTTTATGCCGTCTGCCTTATATATATATATATATATATTTTTTTTTTTTGTTACATGTATGAATAATTATATTTAATACATACGGTAATTACATTCAATACCCAACAGTAATTACATATAATAGTTAATACCCACTGTAATTATATTTACCACCCACTATAATTACATTTAATAGTTAATACCATTGTAATTACAATTGATATCCACTGTAATTACACTTGATATCCACTGTAATTATACTTGATACCCACTACAATTACATTTAATAGTTAATACCCACTGTAATTACATTTAATATCCCACTACAATTACATTTACCACCCAACTGTAATTATATTTAATACCCCACTGCATACATAAGTACCATTAATTTAATTTGATACCCTTCATTATTTTTTTTTATTTTTGTAATTATTCTTTTATATTATTATATTTGAATTAAAAGTGTTATACATGTCATATTTAATTTGTAAAATTAATTTAATATATTTAATAACGTAATGATATTTATTGTAGATATGACATCAAAAGGAAAGAATATAGCTACTGAATCATCGCAGAAAAAAAAAAAGAACGTGATATTGGATGGAATTACGGCGAACGAATTGGGGATAATCGACAACATGTAATGTGTAATTTTTGCCATAAAAAAATGATAGGTGGCGGTGTGTCACGGTTAAAGCAACACTTGGCAGGCGGTTATAATAATGTGGAACAATGTGATAAGTGTCCTATTGAAATTGCGAAAGCTATGAGAGATTACTTGAATCGCAACAAGAATGAAAATGCAGAAGTGACTGGTGAACGGAGAAAAATGAGACAAAATTTAATTGGTGGATCGAGGCGGAGGAGTGGTATCGAAATTTATTCTTCCGATGAGAATTCAGATGATGATATGGATATAGAATATAGAGATGATATTGAGTATGCAAAACAACAATCTATTCGTGATATACATATGGCCGAGCAAGGCTTTAGAGGAGGAAGTTCTAGACCATCTATCCAAAAAAGTGGTATATCTAAGGGTTTAATGTGCTCACATAGTGTGAAGGAATCTTGGGATAAATTCTCAAGAAAATCACAAAAGTGGATGGGCAGAGAAAAGGATCTCACGATAGAAGAGATGGATCCTTCGATGTATCGGAATAGGGAAGTAAAGCAAGCCAAGCTAACTCATATGTGGAATCCGAAAAAGTGGGCAAAGTCGGCAAAACATGCTATTGCAAAGTATTTCATTTATGAGAATATTCCACCAAGCAAAGCTCAAGGTAATTTTTACCAATTGATGATTGATGAAATTGCTTTAGCTGGAGTGGGTGTGAAAGGCCCAACCCCATATGAGATTGGCGGACCATTGCTAGATAATGAGATAGATGAGCTGAAAGAGTACATTGATCAGTTCAAAAAGAAGTGGGAGATTTATGGAGTGACAATCATGTGTGATGGATGGACATCCACCACAAGATTATCTATCATTAACTTCTTGATATATTGTGATGGAAAAATTGTTTTCCACAAGTCAATTGATAGTTCTGGTCATGACAAGGATGCTAATTATATTTTGGGTTTGATGGATGCTGTTGTTGAAGAGATTGGAGAGAAATATGTGGTTCAGATTATTACAGACAATGGCAGTGCGTACAAAAAAGCTGGTGAAATGTTGATGGAAAGAAGACCACGCTTATATTGGACTCCTTGTGCTGCCCACTCTCTAGATTTGATTTTGCATGATTTTTCCAAGATTGAAACGGTTCAAAATGTACTAGAGCAAGCTAAAAGAGTGACAAATTTTATTTATAATCATAATAGAGTCTTGGATATAATGCGAACATTTTGTTTGGGAAAATTGATTTGGCCAGGGCAAACAAGATTTGCCACTAATTATATTGCCTTACAAAGTATGTTGGAGCAGAGAAATGGTTTGCAAAGGATGTTTACTTCAGAAGATTGGTCTAGGACTGCGGCAGCAAAGGATCCAGTTGGAAAGCGAGTTCAAGGGACAATTCTAAATCCTAAATTTTGGGAGACCGCCAAAAATGTGTTGAATATGCATACACCTATTGCAAAAGTTCTAACAATGGTGGATGAGGAAAGAAAAGCAACAATTCCATATGTATATGAAGCAATGAAACGAGCAAGACAAGCTGTCAAAGATGCGGCTCCTAAATCGTGCAAAAAATATCTTGACATCATTGATGCTCGATGGAAAAAACAAATCATTCAACATATTCATATGGCAGGTAAACTTATTGTTTATCAATTTATATTTTTATTATTGATAAGTGTTATCATTTTGAATGTTATCATTTATAAGTGTTATCATTTTTTATATTGTGTAGCTTATTACTTGAACCCCACATACCATTATGAAGAAGATGTTGGTGTATTAGAAAATTTCTTGGGTTCGCTTCGGATCGTTGTGTCTAGACTAGAAACAAATCCAAACAAGGCTGCTGAAGCACTTGCAGAGGTAACACTTTAGTATTTCAATCTCAATTTACAAATATGCTGAATTAATATATAACATCAATATACCCATGATATTTAGGTAAAAATATTTCGGGAGGCTATGTATTGTTTTGCTGACCAAGCTGCAATTAGAGGAAGAACAAAAAGTGATCCAGGTAATTAAGTAGATTATTTACACTTTTATATTTTATTCTCATGATTTTCTATTTATATTTTTCTTTAAGGTTTTAATATGTTTCTTATTATTATGCAGCTGAATGGTGGTTTATGTATGGCACTGATGCTCCAAATTTGAGAAAGATTGCTATGAAAATATTATCGCAAACAGCTTCATCTAGTGGTTGTGAGAGAAACTGGAGTACATTTGCTCTCATTCACACTAAAGTGCGGAATAGACTCAATTATCAAAAATTAGAAAGGCTGGTGTTTGCACAATATAACATGAGGTTGAAGTTAAAGCACCTTATGAAAGACAAAAAAGGGTATGAATTCAGACCTATAGACTTAACCACTGTTTTTGACGAAGATGAAGGTATTTCAGAGTGGTTAGATGATCCTGGTGATGCACTTTTAGATGAACTTGATGATGATGGGCAATCAACAAGACCAAACACTTTCCTATCGACGTGGGCAAATCGTTTTTCCGATGACGATAGAGGAATAGGCCTAAGTCAAGGTGTTGTGCCACCACAAAAATCAAGATTCAAAATAAGTAGAGGAGGATCAAGTAAAGCAATGGATGATGAAGAATTTGACAGACTAATGAGAGGTCCACCAAGACGTAAGCAACCTATCACTGTCACTAGTAGTACTGATGATGATCATAATAGTGATGGTAGCAATGATGATGGCGGTGAAGATGATGATAAAGATAGTGGTGGTGGTAGTGGAGAAGGTGACAGTGGTGGTGATAGCCATGGTGGTGATGGAGGTATGGGGAGCCAAAGTCCACATGGAATTGTATTCACTGTAGAGGAAGGATTTACACATGCTACACAAGATGAAGATCATGGCTCTCGACGAATGCTTCAATATGAACGACGCTCAAAATCAACTCGAGATTGTCAACGTGAGCGTACTCAAAATCCGATCACTCCACATGGTATGGGTGCTATTAGGCATGGAACTGATATGATTAATGATAGTTTTTCTACCATGAGTATAAGTGGAAGTGGAAGTGGAAGTGAACACCATAATTATGGTTCGTCGTCTTCATATGGTTATGGTTCTGGATATGGTATTCCCTCATATGATTATGGATCGGGGTATGACACACGAGGATACGAATATGGATCCTCAACATATGGTTATGGATCTGGCTATGACTCCCGGACATCCTCCTCATATAGACAAGATAAAGATTGGTCAGGGACTGGTACATTCGTTCCCCAACAGATTGGATGTAGTGTTGCAGACTATCAGAGGTTTGGAAGAGAATATAATTCATATTATCGTAATAATATGAGTTGGAGTAACTATTGTCATCATATTTATGTCACATATAGAGTTTCTCTAAGTAGCTACCCAGAGCCTACACCAATGTATGAGCCTGCTCGACACTCCACAGGGGGATGGATGTAGTCATGTAAGTATGTACTCATTAGCATTTCATGTGTATTATGAGATCTTAATATTATATAAAAATGTGTTTATTTGATAAAAATTTAAGTGTTTAAAACTAATTTAAGTGATTTTCGCCTCATGTCAAGTCTTTTTTTCCCTCCAATTTAAATTTATTCTTCTATAAATGGATGTTAAGTCAATAAATATGTTGAATTAATCAATTATTTAGCTTATCTTTATAGATATAGATTAATGGATTGTATTTGTGTTTCCACGCGTTTTTATATTTTTTCCGTGTTTCCATTGTATTTCCGAAACGTTTCCGAATCGTTTCGGAAATTTAGATGACCGAAACGGTACTTCGAAACGAAATTTCAATTCTTGATTGTAGTCTCATTCACAGTCTCACTCAACAAAAAAAGGTAAATTGAATAAATTAATAAATAATTAGTCCAATACAAAGAAAGAATTGAGCAATAGCAAATTCAACAAAAATAGCATAAAATAATTGAACAAATCTGATAAAAAAAAATTGAACAAATAAACTACAAACCAAACAAAGCAAGAATATAATCATAACAAATTGAATAATAGAATAACCGAACAACAAATATTAAAAAAAATATTGAATATATTAAAAATAGCATAACAAAGAATTGAACAAATATTTGTAGGTGCCCTAATTTAATCATTGTGTGTAAATCTGTGTGATTGTGTGTAATTTATGTGGGTGTATGCGTGTGATTCAATGTGTGTACATGTGTGTGTGAGCGCAATATGTGTGTGTCAATCTATGTGTGTGAGCAGGAGAAGATATGAGAAAGAAAGGATTGTGAAACATTTCATAGTAAAATTGTCATATTAAAAAAATTATAAAAGATGCTCCTCTTGAACGCTTTCAACTTTCAAAATTAAGGGATCTCTTATTTATATTTTACCCTATTTTTAAGTAGCACCTAACATTTTAAGAGATTTTAATTTTAGTTATCAAACGGGCTTAATTAATAAGTGTCGAATGCATTCATTTTAAGTGCTGAATTTAAGTTAACAAACACACTCGGTGTTTGATAAGTTTATTCAATACTTCAAACTGAACACATTCGGCACTTTTTCAATTAAGTGTCTTTGATAACCAAAATTCATCCCACTTAATTTAAATTAGAAAACCACATACTTATCTCTTAATTGTGAAAATGTTAGTAAGAATTTTATAAACTTCTCATGATTGACAAAGTTTACCCAAAAATAATTTGAACTTAATCCATTTTACACTTCAAACTTTCCAATATCAATCATCCAACCACTACCACAACTGTCGCAACCACCACTACTCACCAATTGGTAATGAGTGAAGTGGCCCCCCAAGTATATAATTTCACTTTTCAGTACTTAATTTTCAGTTTTATCAAACACCACCTAACTTGAAAACTCAGATTGGACAAAGAACTGATTAGGTTCAGGAAAGTGCTTACCCATTTTGGAAGGTTCAAAGTTTTGGCACACACAAGACCAAGGCACATCTATATGCTTGTACACACACGGGACCAAGGCACATCTATGTGCTTGCGGACACACACAAGTTTTATTGCTGCTAACTGAAGAAAGATAATGAGTTCTTCACGAGCTCAAAATCATCAATGAATTTCAATTTTTTATCATCTAACATCAACTAGGAAAAAGAAAATCTTATCTAACCCAATCTCCACAAGTTTCATAACTTCTAAGCAAAGAAGGTAAATAGCATTTTATCCAAAGGTAGAATCATCACCTAATGCAAAAACTCTTCCACCTACAGTAAAATAGAAAGACAAGTACGTAGTTGAGTTTTCAAAATTTTTTGATGAGGTAGGCTAATTACCACAAAATGGAACGCATTGACAAGAACTCCAAACTTCACAGATTTCAACTTTTTTTCAATTCTTCATATTTTGTTTGTCCAATTTCTAGTAGAAAGCAAAAGAACAAGTAAATTGTGATAATCAAAAAACTGAGGCACAAATTGAACAAAAAACTTACTCATGGCATTAGTTTTTAGAGGATCACTTTCCTCATTTTTAAAATGATCAATGCCTGGCTTGTCACTAGACATATACATGTTGGCACCAGAGAATCCTTCACCTTCACCATCACCAATCTCCTTTTCTGCTCTTAAAGCATCTTTATCTGTCCCATCACCGTCCTGTTCCATATATACAACAATTTACTTCTCATAGAGAAAGGAGTTTTTAATCGATCAAGTAATGTACAATAATGTTCATTTAATGAATGGAAGTCTTGTTTCTAATCCCAAAAAAAAAAAAGTAATGTATAGTAATGTATGCTCTCCATCAGTGATGAGGCGCATAAAAGGTGCCTGATAATCAAGATGCTACACATAGAAGCAAGCGTCTAGTCAAATTCAAGAAACCACATATGATGGTGCAACATACTAAATTCCATTTTATCTGACTTCTGACATCTAGGAATTTTCATTAAAAGTAGCACATTGTACTTCTGACAATGCCTTGATTTCCTAAGCATTTCTTGCAGCAAAGCATGCACTGAATTTGAATCTAAATGAATTTCACACGAAGTAAAATAGTACTAAGTTTTTCTTATTCATGGACATGTTTCTGGATCAGTATCACCCTGTGCTTCAAGTTGAGACTTCTTCCTCCAACGAAATCTGTCACTTTAGGTCATCTTAATTTTAGCTTAAATAAAAGAAAATGTTGTATTGCTCCAATGCGTTTGACGGGCGAAAAGGAAAGGGACGAAGGAATTAGAGTTTATTTAATGACTTTAATGACAGAATACAAATCATAACCCACATGAAATAATATCAATAATCAAGTAAATCAAGCCACATGGGTAGCCCGGTGGTGTTGAATTAGCTTGGGATAAACAGCAGTAAATTCAGACATCCCGAGTTCAACTCTAGCTAGTGACTCCCGAATTTAACCAATACATGTGGCTAGCGGGTGATTGCAGATATCTGGTGTAGGGATGGGTCCAATATAACCCTATTTTGGAGAGGCGTAATAAGAAAAGAAAAGTAAATAACCAAATCAAACCATCAATAGATACTATTTGCTGCAAGACTCTAAGGTGGTTTGAGAGATGTGAGCACTGGTGGCTTTTTTGTGAGTAATAGGGATTATGCCAAGGCCTATGGAGGAGATGTTGTGTAGTTGGAAAGGCACCCCTTTGTTTGATGTGGTTCATTTGGAGGGAGCAGAATAGAAGGCCATTAGAGGGGGCAACGCTCCGACAACAAGCTTGAACTTTTTATATGTTCCTTTTTTTTTTTTTTCCATTTTTGTTTTACTAATTTGACTTAATGAAGTATACTTACTACCCAGGGCGCCTACAGTTACATTTCTGATTTTTCATTGGGAGCCTAGTTGTTCATATTTTTTGGGTGCTCCTTTTTTATGCATCATGCCTACATGTGTTGCACCCCCTTTGGTGCATTTGATGAAATATTTACTGGAAGAAAAAACAAAAATAAGATCATGGTTAGACCTGGTGCACCAAGCAGCTGATTGAAGGATGTCTCCGCAAAAGGTTGTGAATTAACGCAATAATGACCAATGCTCCGGAAGGTGGAACAGAAAGCGTGAGTCTACTCAATTTCTTAGTAAAAGCAGCAGCCAAATATGCAGGAAGAAGAGGTGATTTCAGGCAAGAATCAAGAAGCTGCCCACAAAAAAAATAATTGTAATCAGTAAGAAAATAAGGATTCCCAGAAAGACAAACACGATATAGTAAACTCTCACCCCATAATTGTTACACATTGGTGCATCATGATTTACAATTTGTTTAGGCCCCATTTTGGTCAATGCATATGATTTACACACTTGCCAAAGTAGCAATTTAATAGCCGAAGTGCATTTCAAACAGCCAAATAGAAACAAAAAACCAAGCAGACACTACCGTACATACACACCTCACCTACATACATGCGGTGATATATTTTGAGCTTCCTGAGACTTCCAAGGATTCATTTCAATTTTTCAAGTGATAGATGCAACTCAAATAATTATAGCACTTGACCATGTAGGATTAGGAGGATAGAGAACAACGTTGTCATTATCTAAATGATGATGCCTTCTAAAAGATTGCTTTAGGCATGTTGTTAATTAAAACATCTTACCTTTAAATCAAAGGTTATAAAGCAAAAAGTATCCCAAGAAAATGTGGTTTCTTCTGAAGAAAGTGCAAGTTATTGTGAAAAATATTTGCTTGATGGTATGCCGCATGGGATCAACACGCATGCCAGCTTGAAGAGGGTGTCTCTGGTGATTTTTCTAATCTCCAAACCATGGGACATGGGCACATACATAGCCAAACTATCACCATGGTTCTTGGACTGCGTACCCTATCATCAACTTGAGGAAAAACAAAGTTCATAAGCAGGATGACCTCTTAGATATAGACCCTTAGATTCATTTTAGAAAATCCATGTGAATAGACAAACAAATTCAAAAGTCAGCCGGTAAACTAAATATATGTTTCTTTAATCATTTGCTCTTCCGAGGGTAAAAAGCATCAAACAGTAAATGTGCAAGACACCTACCTTATGTATCCAGAAAGTGTAGAACACCACATTAACCATGTCAGCACATATTGTATCCTAAAAGTAAAGTGCAGAACACCATATTGCCCATGCCGTATCCGATTCTCCACACATATTTTTGGCAAAAGTAAACTGACTAAAAACCACAACTTAATAGGATCCCCATGATTCCATACAAGGATTATATTCATAATAAACTTTTTAAGTAAAACAGCACAGTTTTTCTCAAAACGACTAGAAATGTAAATATTTGAGATTACCTGGAAAAAATTTGCCCGATGTTTTGCCATAAAAATAGAGGGTTCCAACAGTGCATAAAGCTTTTCATAAAAATTGGGATACTCTAGACCATGTTGCGTCATAAGAACATAGAGGCCGTTAAGTGCCATAACACTGATAACACCACCAAGGTCATACGATCGTGTCAAAAAGTCACTGCACATTTATTTAAGCTCTAACATGATTAAAATTTGACAAAACTAAGAAGTATGAAATCTTTAAGCAGGCAGCAGGTATTTCAATATGTTATTTACCATAACATAATGGGATTACACAGATGAGGGATAACAGCCTGATGGAGAGTAACAAGAACCTAAGCATCAGAAGGCAATCAAGTCAGAAAACATAACACAGTTTATGCAATGACATGCAGCTAATGGCAGACAATGAGAATCTAATTATCTAACTTTGTCTGTCTTTGTTTTTAAATCAAAAAAAAAAAAAGTAGCTATCCACAAAAAGAGATGATGATATAACTGCCCAAAAATATAAAGATTTCACAACCAGTAAAACAATAGTCCAACACAATAAACAACAATTATACAAGCTATGACTGAACTGGTGGAGTCAGAATATTAGAATATGGCACTACCCTAATTTTGGAACATTACTAGATAGTCCAATAAAGGGGTCTAGCCCCTCTGCCATTCCACAACCATCCCCTCCTCCCAAAAAAAAGGGAAGAATCATGACACCCTTGACTTTTGCACATGACAAAAAACAAGTATGGCACGGCAACCCCTACCGGAATTTTTATCTAACAGGTCTTGTTTACCTTATTTCACTGCCAAGTTTGGTAAAATCAGTCAAAGAAAATTAAAACAATAAAAAGACAAAGACAGAGATGGGGGCATCCCTTCCCCCTCAGGCAGCCTTCCCTGACCCCCCTTCCCCCTCTGCTCCTTTCCCCACCCCAAAACCCTTTCCTTGAAACCCCTCCCACCATTTCGCAGACCCCACCACCCAACAACCCCATCGAAACACACCAACAACCCCACTTCTGCCACTAACATCAATACAAACTCCCCAAACACGTGCACTCATGCTTCAAGTCACAAGGAACCCCAACAATTTAACCTGAAAAAAAACACCAAAACAACAAAACCTAGGGATCCAAGAGATTGTCACAGCCATTTTACATTTAAATGCTGCGCCAGATGAACATACAAACCACAATATGTTAAACCTCATTAGAAAGTCATGCAACAACAAGTAAAACATGTAATTCATCAGGACAGTAAAGCCAAAGCACAAAAGGTAAAGAACACTAAGTGTTGGAACATGCAAGGGTAAAGGGAGTTAGTACGACCTCCACTTTGGTTGTAAATCGTAAAATATGCTCAATTTTAAAGGATACAAAATTGAATATATGTATAAGTTTAACAACCAAGGATCAAAATTCGTTTCAAAACGTCAGTAACGTTTCCGTTTTCAAGGAGACCGAAACAAAACAGTTATGGAATCGAAATTTTAATATTTCAAGGTATTTTATAATGTTTCAAAATGTTTTATAATATTTCAATGCATTTGCACAATTGTTTCAATATATTTTACGATACTTTGATATATTTCGACTGATGTTTTGGAAAAATAATTTTTAAATTTTGTATTTTTTTTCATTATGTATCCGAAACTGATCGAAACGTTTTCGAAACACGTCGAAACGTTTCTATTTCCTAAATGACCGAAAAAAAAATGTGATCCTTGTTAATAACATATACTATACAAAATTATATAAATAACATTTTATCTGACTAATCACTTCGTGCGATGCATGTTTGCAAAAGAGATTGAAAGAGAGACATCATTTCATCTTCGCAACATAGATCAAAAAATAGTTAGGATTTTGTCCATTTGAAGAAGAACAAGAAGATTTGAGCAAAAAGAAGTGCGTTATTGCGGGCTTTGCCAGTTTAAGATCGAACCAAAGGAACAAATATGCTATACAAAACATATCGTACGATTTCTACCAATATTATTTTAAATCACATATGCATAGAACAATTTCTAAAGTCAACCACATTTCAATACAAATTCAATGATCATGGTATCAACTAGGAAATATTGGTTCACAAGTAGGGTGATATTTGAGATGATGTTAATTACAAAATTAAAGAAAAATAGGTCAAGTTGTGGAATGTATCTGGTACATCACGTAATCGACGTACACCTCTAAAGCCGAAAGGTAAGTAAAAAAACTAGCTATGTATCATAGTCTAGGAAGCACGAATACTTGAGAGGAGGGTTGTGGCAGTGTTGGATACATGTGTTCGATGGTCAAGCCTCGATCGACTTTGGTCGATCCTCACCAGGGTTTTTTTCTTTTTTTGGGTTTTGTTACTTTTGTGCAATGATTTGGTATTTAGGGTTTAGATTTATCTGGTTTGTTAATTTGATTTTGTATTTAGGTTTCAAATTTTGGGATTAGATATTTAGGGTTAATATGATTGTGTTGCTTGCCGTATATGCAATGTTTGCTACGACTTGTTCGTTATAACCGTGTCCTATATTTTGAATTTTGTTGCATCCCTGTGTCCGTAACAATACAGACACAACACCGGTGTCTGTAATATAATATGCTAGGTAACTAAGACAAAACATATTCAGTACATTTAGCAAAACTTTAGATGCAAAAATTGATGTATAGTAATAAAGAAAGTAAAGTAAATGATTAAAAATGATCATATTTGTGAGTTGGTAAAAGTAGAGCCGATATGATACAAATCTAGAAAACACCAACCAAACTAGTTTAGCTATGTCGAGAAATGGGACATGTAACTCCAAATAAAGGGAAAGCCAAGTGTGAAAGAAGATAAAAATTAACACCATAGTTGTTAGTATCGTACGATACGCGATACGTATCGTACGATACGTTACGATACAGCCCTAAAACGATACGGATCGTAGTTATGTATCGTTTTTGCGTTGTATCGTCCGATACACGATACGTTTGTACGATATGCACGATACGTGCAATTTTATTTTTTTTATAAACAACGTCGTTTTGTGCTCTGATTTTTTTTTTTAATCCCTATAACCACTGAAACGACGTCGTTTCAGTGGTTAGGGTTACAAAAAAAAAAATCCCTCATTTCTCACATATTCGACCTTCGCTCATTGCTAGTCAAAGACTCGGAGGTCTCTGGTTTCTCTTCAGTCATCGACGACGAGTGATCGACTGTGGGTGGTGATCGCTATGGGTGGTGATCGCTGTGGGTAGTGATCGACTGTGGGTGGTGATCGACTGTGGGTGGCGAACGTTGTGGGTGGTCTTCGACTGTGTAGGTGGTCTTCGACTCTGGGTGGTTTTCGACTCTGGGTGGTGATCGATTGTGGGTGGTCTCCAACTGTGGGTGATTGCTGGTCTTCGTCTGTGGGTGATTGCTTGTCTCCGACTGTGGGTGTTGATCGATGCCTTCTTCCTTCTCCAGGTACTCCTTTTTCTTCTTCTTCTTCTTCCCCAGTCTCCATTGATCGTTGGTCCTGTGCAGTAAGTAATGATATTAATTTATTTACAAAGCCAAATGTATATATATTTTTTTTGTATAAAAATTTCTGAATCTTGATTAATTTTAATTTTGCGCAACAGTGGCATCACCTACATCCAATTTTCATATAGAAATGACTAAAAAACTTGCTAATGATCCCACATGGGAGCATTGTGACAAAGTAGAAGGATCAAGGTTGAAATTGAAATGCATTCATTGTGCAAATGTCTATTGGGGAGGCATTTCAAGAATGAAAAATCATTTGGCAAGTAATCGCAAAGATGTAGCAGCGTGTAAGCATTGCCCTAAGGAAGTAACTGAATTTTTTAAGCAATTATTGGATGATAGGGCAATTAGCAAAGATATGAGTCTTGTGGATTCGAAAAGTAGTGGCAGTGTGGGTAGTACTACTGCCGATAAAATACAGCCAACCACCACAATTACTTTGAATACCATGTTGAAGAAAAAGGGTAGGGAAGATGTATGCTTGGATATTTGTAGATGTTTTTATGCTAATGCCCTTCCTTTTAATTTGGTAAAGGATCCATATTTTGTAAGAATGTTAGAATCTGTTGCATCGTTTGGTAAGGGATTGAAACCTCCATCGTATCATGAGGTGAGATGTTTTTTTTTGAAAAAAGAAACAAATTTGATTAATGGTGGATTGATGGAAAATTATATAGCAGAGTGGAGAAGGACGGGTTGTACTCTTATGTCTGATGGATGGACTGATGGGAAACATCGCCCTATCACTAATTTTTTAGTGAATAGTTCTAGAGGAAGTGTGTTTCTTAAAAGTATTGATACTTCAGGTATTTGTAAGAATGCGGATAATCTTTTTGAGCTTTTAGATTCAATGGTAGAAGAGATTGGTGAGGATAATGTTGTTCAAGTTGTAACTGATAGTGCATCGGCTAATGTAAAAACTGGGGAGTTGTTAATGGCAAAGAGGAAAAAGTTATTTTGGTCTCCCTACGCTGCACATTGTCTAGATCTCATTTTGACGGATATTGGGGACCTTCCTCTGCACAAGGATATAATGTCAAAGGCAAGAAAAATCACAGTTTACATTTATAGACATTCTTGGGTGTTAAATCTTATGAGAAAGTATACAAAGAAAAGGGATTTGGTGAGAGCTTGTGTGACCAGATTTGCCACCTCATATTTAACTTTAAGGAGTTTATTTGAAAATAAAATTGGGCTTAGAGCAATGTTTGCTTCTGAGGAATGGCAGAAAAGTCAATATTGTAAGAAGGGAGATGGTGTAAAAGTGATGGATATTATACTAGCTGACCAAAATTTTTGGGGATCAATCAAGTATTGCTTGAAGTGTGTGTTGCCATTGGTGAAGGTGTTGAGGCTTGTAGATGGGGATCTAAAGCCTGCCATGAGGTATATTTACGAGGCAATGGGCAAGGCAAAGAAACAAATCCAAAAGAATTTTCGCAATGTGAAGAAGCACTATGAGCCCATATGGACTATTGTTGACACTAGATGGAACATGCAATTACACAGACCTCTTCATGCAGTTGCCTATTATCTCAATCCCGCGTAAGACTTAATTTTCTCAATTTTTATATTATTTTATATCTATATATTGTATGCTAACCAATGATCATTGTAAATCAAAATAATTATTTCAGGTTTCATTACACCGGTAGTGCGGACTATGAGATAAAAAGATGGGACTATATCAGACTATTCAGAGAATGTGTCCAAGTCCTATTATGAGAGAAAAAGTTGATAAACAATTAGATATCTTTCATAATGCTGATTTGATGTTTGGAATGGACATGGCAATCCAAATGAGGAAGAAGAAACAACCTGGTTAGTGGAAACTTAACTTAAGTTAGTTATTTGAATGCAACTGCTTAAGTTAGTTAATGGAGTATTCTATTGTAATTTTTTATAGCCTTGTGGTGGGAATCATTTGGAGGATGTTGTCCAGAGTTGCAACAACTTGATATTCGCGTCCTTAGCTTGACTTGTAGTGCCACTAGATGTGAGAGGAATTGGAGTACATTTGACCAGGTGCACTCTAAGAGGAGAAATCAATTAGAGCAACAAAGATTAAGTGCACTTGTGTTTGTGAAGTACAATCTTCGATTGGAGGCAAGACACCAAAAGAGAATACTAGAGGGTGATTCCTATGATCCTATTTCTCTCTCAGATATGGAATTTGATGATGAGTGGATCACTGAAAAAGAAGATGCACTCCTTCCTGAGGACACTACTTGGATGAATGTTGGTGAATGTTTTGAGGTTCAAGAAGGGACTAGCAAAAAGAGAAAGAGAGGTAATTAAAATGTAGTGGTTGTTTTTTCTTCTTCTCCATTACTTTAAATTTTATTTTTTTTATATTTTGTATTGGTTGCTTTGTAGGGCCTAGAAATCTTACTTTAAACAAGAAAAAAGGAAAGTAAAGAGTTCAACTTGAAGATGAGAATGAAGATGAACAAATACAAGAAGTTGAAGATGATAAAGGAAGTGAAGACTTGTTGGCATCCGATCACAATGATGATGATGATGATGCATTTTCAATTGAAATTGAAGATTGAGTTCAAAATGGATGTTAGAAATTTGAATTAGAAGTCTCTTTAGTGTTTAAAGTTTGAATTAGTGAACTATGGTTGTGAACTTTGCATTATAATAGTAGTGAATTATGTTGATAACTTGAATAGTTGGTGGAGTATTAATGAAATGCTATATTTTTTATGAGTGTATGACCTTTTTTCAAAGGTATATATATTTTATTATTATTTATTTAAAATTGCATCGTATCTTACGATACACGATACGATACAATATTTGTATCTGACGATACGCCTTCCGATACACGATTTGATAACTATGATTAACACGAACAAAGATGGAAAAGAAGAATATAATAAATAGAAATTAAACAAAACAAAACAATATGGCTTTAGAAAAAGCATAATAGTAGAACATGGTTCAATTAGTCGCCCTTGAATAGTTCGAGAACGAAGCTTAGTTGAGTTGAATGTGAAGTCATAATTATAATTTATAATGCATTGGTGACTGAACTATAAATCAAGAGCCTAAGCCTAATTCAATTCGGGAAATAATAAAGCCACAAATAATACAATCTTTACTTTTTTTGTTGGGTTACCATATTCCAATCACTTAATAACAATAAATACAATCCTGAGAGAGGAACGACGAGTTACCTCCTTATACACATCGAGAGGAAGCGGCAAGCTAAGAAATGATATCCATGCTTTGGTAAACTTTAATTTCATCTTCTTGCCAACATTGGCTCGAGGCAGAACCTGAAGATAATAGGATATCAAATAACCCAATAAATTTATTCTAGGTGCAAAACAAAGCAATTTCAATAACTAATTTAATTTCAATTAAACATCTACATGAAAATCCTTCTTCATAATCATTTCATGAAAACCCTTCCCATAAAGCATGAAAGAAACTTGAAATACATCAACAACTTAAAATTTACATTATTGGCAGCTTTTTTCGTCGTCTTCTGTTTATCTTCTGCTTTAAGAAGCTCAGAATGTTCTTTGTCATTGCATTCTTTAATAAAAATGCCTAATCCATAAAAGAAATAAGCATGCATAAGATTGTGGCCACCAACAATAAAAGCATTGATAAAGATGCAGAGAAAAATAGGGCAAAGGAACAGGAATTAAAAAATATAAAGTTCATGTTGAAAGTGATCCAAAAAAGTGTAGAAGTTCCCTTAGGTGAAGAAATCATGGATATATAAAACACGAGGTATGATCTCCTAACGAGCCAGATTAGAGTCATTAGACGGCATAAGGCCAGATGTTACTTAGATCGTGGGTCGCTTTGGTACGTGGTATTGGTACAAGTACGCGGTACTACACTTTCTTAAGTAAGTGGTATAATGGAAGTAGGCTTAGCTGGTACGCTATTTTGGGTCGCAATTCGTTTTAGAATATTTATTTAGATCATTCTCACTATTATACAACATTATTTATGATAGAATAGAACATCCCTCGGCTATTTTTGGGAATATTTTCCACAGAAAAAAAAATAAGATTGTTGGCCAGGTTGGAAAGAATCAAAAAAGCACAAGAACTACGTATTCACATAAATTAGAATACCTTGAGGAGTCCCTGTTAAAGGAATACCATGAAGTTCTTGAACAGGAGGAACTTCCCTGGTATCAAAAATCTAGGTCCAAATGGATTACACTTGGGAATAGGAACACGAGATTCTTCCACATCTCAACAATTATTAGGAGGAGGAAGAACAGACCTCAATCCCTTAAGAATAGCCAAGGGGATTGGATGACTGATCAAACACAAATTGCTAATGAAATTGTTAGATATTTTAAAGACTTACTTGCTAATGACGACCCATATAACTGGGTGGGGATTAATCCAAGTTTCCAGGTTAAACTGTCCCAAACTGAGAACTTAATGGAGTTAACTGTCACTCAAGATGAAATTTGGAATACTGTGAAAAGGATGAAGGGTTTTAAAGCACATGGGCCAGATGGTCTCCAGTCACTTTTTTACAGAAATACTGGGGGATAATGGGGAAGTCAGTGTGTCATTTGATTAGGGATGTTTTACATAATTGTGAGTTCCCCAAGGAATTAAAAACTACTTAGATCACTCTTATTCCCAAGATTGATGACCCTACCTTGGTATCACAATTGAGACCCATTAGCCTATGTAATGTGTCGTATAAAATCCTAACAAAGATTTTGGTCAATAGAATAAGGCCCAGAGTAGCTTTATCCTAGGGAGGCAAAACCTTGATAATGTTTTCATTACTCAAGAAGTTGTCACTTCTACGAGGAGGAAAAAAAGTAAAGTTGGGGAAATGATCATTCAAATTGACTTAGAAAAAGCCTATGATAGAGTTAATTGGTCCTTTTTGTGTCAGACACTAAAGGATTTTGATTTCCCCCAAGTCCCGGATTGACATCATCATGCGTTGGGTCCCATCATAGGTTGTGCCACAGGTTCCTCACTGGATATCCTCTGGAATGGCTCTCCCCTTGAACCCATAGTTCCTTAAAGAGGGCTAAGACAGGGTGATCCACTGTTAACCATAGAGTTCATCAAGGTCTCTGGAAAGGGTTGAAAGTTTATAGAAATAGCCCATAGATATCACATCTCTTTGTCGATGATATCTTGCTATTCTCTAAGGCTACAACCCAAAACTGTGAAATGATTAGGGAAGTCCTAGATACCTTTTGTAGCATTTCAGGGCTCAAAGTTAGTCTCTCCAAATCAAAAGTGTTTTTCTCCCCAAATGTTGGCAGGTCAGAAGCTTCAAGGATTAACAGGATCATTGGAATGGCCAGATCTAAGGATCTTAGCAAGTACCTTGAAATCCCTATCCTTCATGGTAGGACCTCAAGGAACCATCATTATAATTACATTATTGACAATGTTCAAAAAATGATTAAGTGGTTGGAAAGTTAAAACTCTATCTATAACTGGGAGAGCTACCCTCATCCAGTCAGTGACTTCTGCGGTCCCTAACTATGTAATGCAATCTTCTTGGCTACCTCAAAGTACATGTGATACCCTGGATAGACTAAATATGAATTTTCTTTGGGGGGGTTATGAGGAGAAGAAAAGAGTGCACCTTGTGAAGTGGACTCTGTGTGTAAACCAAAAAGCCTAGGAGGGTTGGGGCTAAAGAAAAGCAGGCAGAATAATATGGCCCTAATTTCAAAGCTGGGGTGGAAAATTAAAATTAACCATAAGTCCCTCTGGGTTGAGGTCAGTAAGAGTAAGTATATAAGAGAAAACCAGAAGGGCTGGCTGGGTAATTCTAATGCCTCTCATATTTGAAGAGCAGTTCTTAAAACTCTGGACATGTTAAGTAAAGGAATGAAGTGGATATTAGGGAATGGAACAAGTATTGCTTTTTGGACTGATTGGTGGATAGGTGATGGTCCACTCCAGCAAACGCTCCTCGATCCCCATTCCATCAATCTAGAAACAAGATGGCAAGAGGTAGGTATGCTCCTCCCCCAGAATATTCGTGATATGCTACTCTTTGATCCCATTCCTTTGACTCCATTAAACCCTGATTCCTTATGTTTCCTTATGTTGGGGCTTGTCTAGTGATGGGACTTTCTCAACCAAATGCTTACCAGTCTTTGGTTAGAGAAGAGTCTCAAGGCAGGTTGAATTTTAATTGGGATTGGTTAAGGAAAGTCAAAATTCCCCAAAAGCTAATATATTTCTTGTGGCTGGTACAGAGAGATAGGATTCTATCCTATCAGCTAAGAGCCATAAGGAATATGATTGAAGATGGATCTTGCTCCATCAGAGGATTGTCGTAAGATTCAGAGTATTTGGAGGGTTGTTCTTGAGGCACAAAATAGGCACTCTGATAAATCTCTGAATCTTAAGGATTGGATCCTTAAGAATGTTAAGGTCAGAAGGAGGAGTTTTTGGAACAACATTGAGCGGCCTCTTCTTTTTATTTGCATCCTCTGGTCAATCTGGAAAGCAAGGAACAAGGAATGCATTGATTACGGAGCCAAAGGTGGTGATTCAAAATGCAGTGAACTACTCTAAGGAAATCATGAGAGCCTTCTCGGTGGATTCAATTCCACGCAGACTTATTAGGTGGTCCTTTCATTTTGTGGGATACCTAAGGTTTAATACTGATGGCTGCTCTAAAGGGAATCCTGGATCAGCGGGAATAGGTGGAATTATTCGTGATGATCAGGGCCGCTGAATCGTGGGCTTTTATGGGAAACTGAATGAGATGACAAGTTTACTAACAGAGCTTTGGGCACTATTTAGAGGCTTGGAACTAATTAGGGAGCTTGGAATGTCTAGAGTTAAATTGGAGACAGATTCCTACGAGGCCTTCTCTCTCCTCACTAACCCTCAGGTGACTACGCACCCCGATAGAGTGCAAGAGGGAAACCAATGTGCTGACACCCTTGCAAATTTGGGGGAAAGACAGAGCGATCTTTTTGTTAAGCTGTAGACTCTCCCCTTGGAACTTTGTTTTTTGTTTGAAGCCAACCTTGTTGGTACAGCCTTTGTTGGAGACCCAAGTAGTCCTCTGTTATTTCCTTTGTACCAAAAAAAAAAAGAATAGAACATCCATAAACATTACGTCAATTACCATTTATCTTAAATTTATGCTCGATTTTTTATTATCTAAAACAACATATATTTATAAAATTATATACACGTGGTCAATTATTATGTATTTTATATTTGTGTTACATGTTCCAAAGCGAATCAATTTAGGGTAGTATTACAATTTGGGATCATACATTTTGGTGATTTAGATCGCGAACCTACCTCATTTAGGATCGATGTACCCAGATTGTAAGTCATCAAGGGTTTAGTGAATTTTGGTAATTAAGCGGCTCATAATCCTCATTTGTCAAATTGTCAAGAAAAGAAAGATGAATTAAAACAAAACCAGGAATTATAATCATATACACACAATTGCCACATTAGCTGTGGATTTAGACAGACCCAACAGAATGTCTGCATCTGATGCACCGTGCATACAGAATCGTTATTCAGCACTCCATGTGCCATTATGCCACCCAAAAAATTCCACGTTCTCTGCATTTGTTCAGGCAGGCCAAACAAAGGAGAACAGTTGCATTTTCGTGTCCTAAGAACAAGCTAGAGGCCACAATGGACTACTACCAACAAATCACGTAAAAAAAAAAATGGTAATGCACAATTGGGGGGCATATAGTTATAAAATGATGATGACAAATCAAGACAAGCTTCAAGACTCGAGGCAAAAGGAGTCACCTGACCCATTCAACATTTGGTATTCAGACTTTTCGTCGAATGCTTCTAGGATTGGGATACGTGATATTATATGATGTATCTTGTGAATAGAAAGCTCCACGCTGCAACAAACAGCAGATTATTGTGCATCATAATTTCACTATATGAACCATTTAAAATCACGCAAGTCTAATAAGACAGACACAAGTAAGCGCATACAAAAATTAAAAAGGAAAAAAGCTGGTGAACGGTAGATCTTTAATGTCATTCACGTTTAAACAATTGAAAATCAAAGCATGTTTGAGAGATAAACCAGAAGATCAATAAACAACATCAAAGCACAGAATGGAACTGGCATTTTACCTGTAGAATGCAGTATTTTATCTACGAGTAAAAAGCGATTATTTCTGCCCTGTCCTCCAACTCAGATGTCTTGCTATTGCTACTTAGAAACTACTAATTTGCCCAAGGGAGATTAAGCTGTGTGAATCGTGTTGAAGCCCTAATGGTGCCCATCAACAAATCTAGGTCTGTCACAGTAAAAATCTGAGAAGTGGCATCATTTGAAATTATTGGCCGAGAATGAATTCGTAACAGCCAAGCCGAAAGTTTAAAAAAGCATTTTCTGCAGGCACTCTCACATTTAAACCTCTGGCCCCAAATTGGAACCCTCACATTTTAACCCAACAAAGTTTATGTTACCAATTTTTCAGAAGCCCAAGAGGAAAACTCAACAATTGCCCTAAGCAAACCTAAAAAGTAATCAAAGACCCTAAAAGCATAGTTTTAAACAGTGTTGTAAAAAGCTCGCCTAGGCGAGAAGCGAGGCGAGGGTCTCTCGCCTTGAGCACCCCAAGCGAAGCGAATATGGCTGAGGCGAGGAAAAAGCGAGAAAAGCAATCACCTGTCGCTTAAGCGAAAGGCGAGAAAAGCGATGCATTTGTCAATTTTTTTAAGTTGTTTTATTTTTTTATTATGGACCATTGGATTATTTTATTTTTGTTATATACCATTGGATTGAGGCAATTGGAACTTAATTATGAGATACTCATACACCCAATTCCCAATATATACAAACCAAAACCCTAAATTTGCGATAAAAGTTGTTAGTTGCTTGGTTGCTACTACTCCTTCCTAATGAAGTTCCAACAGGTTTGCCCATCTAGCCCTCTCTTCTTCTTCTTCTCTTCTCTGTTTCTCTTCTTCTTCTTCAACAAAAAGCTCATCTGCTACTGTTTTTGTCTTCTTCTTTGACAGAAATTCAAGCTATTTTTCTTTTCTCTCTTTCTTCTCCTCTTCTTTTCTTTGTATGTTTCTACAGTGCGACTGCTGCTTTTGTTTCTACTTCGAAAACCAAGGTATGTTCTTTTCTTCGGCTTCTGTCTTCTTCTTCCACAGCTAATATGTTCTTTTGCTTACGGTTCTGCTGCTTCTACAGTTCTACTATTGATTCTGTGCTTGCTTCTACAGTTCTACTATTGATTTTGTACTGCTTCTAATTTTCTGTTGATTCTATTTCTGTTGTTTCTGATTTTGTTTATGTTGTTTCTGATTCTGTTTCTGTTGTTGTTTCTGATTCTGTTTCTGCTGCTTTTTGCTTTTTTGCTTATTTTGTTTGTGTTTCTATTCTACTGCTTCTATTTATGCTTCTCTGATTTTTCTTCTCTACTTCTCTTATAGTAGTGTGATTGTGATAGTTAGTTGATTAATATGTTTTATTACTTAGTTGTTTGTCCTTTAATTGTAGTGTTATAGTGTCATTCATAAACAAATAAATGGATATTCATAAAATTAAAAACCTGGATATTTAGAAGTAATTTAACTAAAATATGTGGTTTTTTTTACTATTTGCTTCCCTTTGATGAAGCGTTTCGCTTCGCCTCTCACTTCTCGCATAGGCCTCAGGAGCCTTGATCACTTCAGTTTGCTTTACGCCTTAAATAACACTGGTTTTACAACCCACCCCAACATTAACCCGGGGAAGGGATCAGATTAGTGGGTTACTGGTTCAACCGTTGAGTCACGGGTCGAACCGATCATATAATAAAAAAATAAAAAATATTATAAATAGACTAAAAAATCACAATAATTATGAAAATAGAATATTTAATATATTAGATCAAACAAAAATTCCAAAATCATCAAACATGTATCCAATGCATTCAATTTCATATACAACTTGTAAAGTTAAGCATCAAAACCAACAACCCACAATTAATTAAAATAGGCCAAAATTTATACAAATAAAAATCAACTAATTCTGAAACATAATAGCAAAAGCAGACTAAGAGGGAGAGAGAGAAACGAGTCAAAGAATCTGTTGTGAGCCAAATATCTGCTATAGTCGAAGAGCTAAGTCAAAGAATCTGAGCACTTCGAGTCTTCGATTGAGTGATGTGCAATTGTGCACAGAGAGAGAGAGAGGAGAAAGAGAGGGGGGAGGAAGAGATGGGATGGGGTAACCAGTAGCCTCGTCAAAGGAGAGGAGAGAAGCAAAGGCAAGATAAATGAAACTAGGGCAAAAGGTTTTATAGCATTTGAATCAAACCGTCTAGTTTGTTCTAAACCGTTCAGTTCAGCGATTTTGTTACAAAATCAGCCGGTTCAGCAAGTTTTGTCCGGTTCATTTGCTCGAACGATCCAATAGCTAAATCTGACCAGTACAGGCTCAAGTTCACTTGGTCAACCGACCAGGCCAGGCCAGGTTTTAAAACATTGTCTGAAAGAAAAACTGCATTCCAATACTTGCTTATGATCATCGTATTGCAAATCAAAAGATGGAGACGTATATAATTTACAGCAGAAATCTACATACATGTAAATATGTCACCATATGTGCAAGAATTGAAGTAATCATATTCAGGACTTAACACTCACCCGGGAGGACACGGGGGTGCAAGCACACAATTAGCCACTGTGATAATGTTTGGGTAGTAAAGCATTGAATGACATTCTTCACTCATAAGTTAAATTAATCTGATAAACTCAATTTACTACTAAATGAGCCTCATGGAATACAGCAGCTGTATCCTGGTCCGTTTCTAACACTACCATTGAATAAAATTTTTGAAACCTACCAGCTGGTTTGTGTAGATTCGTAATCTGCTCATTCTCCTCTGATAGAGATAGTCATATAGGAGACTATTTTATAAATTAACTTCAAGGTTTAGATTATTAGACAGGTACATACTGATAGAAGCAAATCCAACAAGATATTGGCATGGCTTTGACAAGCTGAATAATATAATATTGCAGGTCCACCCAATAAAAATCAATGATTTGACTGCAACACTATCATGAACTGCTATGGTGGAATCTATTGGTTGGCTGAGTATTTTTTGCACATAAAACAAAGTACACTTATGGTCAACAGTAACATAACGATCATTAAAATATTGTTCACAGCTTAAAATTAAATTCTGTGAAAAAAAGATTACTGTTTATATGTTTGCATAGCAAAACACAAGATAGCAAAGATAAGAGTTGGGGAAAAGAAAGCACACTTGTATAGACCATACTGACCTTGCACTTGACCAACTCTCATTGTCAGCATCTGGACTCACACTTCTGTTATCTTATGAGGGTAACAAATAATCAGACCACCATAGGTGCAAAACCACAAATACAGATAAATTAAGAGAAAAAAGGTTGATGACTCAGTGAATGGTAATACGTAACAAGTATTCATCTGACAACACCTTAAAACTCACAAAATAAAACTAGTAAGGGGCAAGGCAGCAAAGTACCAGGGATATTTTTTGCCTCCAACGATCGAGCTAGCTTTTCCAGGTTGATGTAAGTAAAATAACTGTAAAGTAACAACAGCTATTCCATATATGAATAATGAATCAATAGACGACAAAATTTTTCCTCAAACAAATTGCCTTCGCTTATCAATTATTGCTTGAAAAATCAAATTCATGTTTGAGATGATTGCTCACCAGGTAAATTTCAGAAGACAATTCAAGTGATCAAATGAAAAAAATCCCCGAGTACATTAAATTGCTCTTTAAGAAAGAAACAACAGAAAACAGAACAAATAACATGCAAACATGTACAGACACAGAGTATGTGATTCAATGGGATCTAAGGAAAGCCAGCAAGATAGCAATCCAGTGTCACCAAGAGACAACAATTGCAGTCATTGGAGAAGATAGAAACATAAATTATCTTTTATCCAGATACTACATTGATCAAGAAACCTGTGGCATCCCCTGTTATAGATATAACCCATGATAGGGGCTCCAAAAATGAAAATATTGGCTCACAAAAGGGTGTAACCTTAAGTAGTATGAACAATAAGATACATAAATGAACCTTCAACAACATCGACTCGTTTATTCAGGAACGTTATTTAAAGATAAAAAGAAAACTATGAAAGCACTCGTGAAGAAAGATGGTTTTATACCTGACATCAATGTACTTCAAATATTTTGATGCAAGCAAATCTAACAAAATATCATCAACCCCCAACATGGAGTGAATCTGCAAGTGCAAAACAACATGAAAAACTACAATAGAACAACAAGCCTATTATTTATATTTATCCAACACTCGCATAAGCATTTTTGTTTTTTGGTGACAAGAAACACAAACAATAAAACTTACCCCGAAAGAAAACAGAAATACTAAATCACAAGCGGAGAATGCATAAAACCAACCGTGAAAAAGGGAAGTAAGAAATAGTAAAATCTTGGATGCGTCTGAGGAGAGAAAAGGAAACTTACAATACTGTGGAGAAACTTGTGGTAAACACCAGAATGAAACCTTCCCCCATTCCCTACCCTCACAAACTCCATTAACGTATCCAACACAACTTCCTGATCAAGTGATTTCCATACCAGAAAAAGAAAATTTATATATTGTAAAAGTAGCATATAACAATGAATGAATTAACTGATGGACGAAATTGTAAAGAACAAGCTTACGCGTAGAGTTCCTTCGCATTGCGAAGATATTGTAATGTCAATAAGGGATTGGACAAAGTCATCGAACTTGGAACGAAGCCACGTACGGTAGATGAACTCGGGGTCGGGATCTTTTTGGACGGAGCTGATGGAAGGCTTAGAGGACGAAGGTGGGAGGTTGGGGAGGAGTGGGATAAAGAATGACTGGAGGGAGAGGAGAGAGGAGAGGACGTATTGTGGGGGAGAAGATGGGTTGATGAATGTGAGAAGGAGAGGTAAATTGTTGATGTGGGCTCTGGAAGAGAGAAGTTGATGACCTAGGGTTTTTAGGTCAGATAGCGTGTATTTGTCTTTCTTCTTTTTCTTCTGTGAGAGGATGGAAGCCATTGCTATTGTTATTGTTGGGATGCGTGTGGGTTGTGGCTTCGAAGAGAACGGCGAGAGAGGCGAGAGTCTCTTGAGACTCGAGGAGGAGGAGGCGCTAGGTATCAATAGACCAAGAAGAAGAGAAGCAAAAAGAGGGGTGAGTCTCTGAGACTCGGAGGATGCGCTATGAATTTTAATGATTTTTGTGCACAAATAACCTGAATATATTTTTTAAAAAACCTATACATGTGGGTCGAATCGGGTCAATGCATAAATTTTGTGGCTATTTTGTATTCCTACCTGAAAAATCAAAAATCTTTCCACAAATTGGCCGATTTTTACGGAAGCCTATTAATCAGATTGGGTAGTGTAGAAATTGGTCGGGTATTAGAAAATTTGAACACTCCTACTTAAAAGATTAACTCAACAAAATAAAATTTAAATTTAAGTCAAAAAATGTAGTCTACCTCACACATACACATTTTAAATGACAAAGAAAAAGGTTAACACTTGGATAAAAAAATATAGAGAGAATTACACCTAAATTTCTTGAGATTTGTCACTTAATCATTCAGTCTCTTGACAGTTGAAATATTACACATAAATTTCTTAAGATTTGTACGCACATAATATTTAGATCACTGCCGTAAATATATTCGTTAATAAACTACATTAGACCCCTGAAATTGGTCACTTAATCATTCAGCCCCTTGACATTTACAATATTACACATAAATCTCTTAAAATTTGTATGCATGTAACATTTAGACCCCTGTTGTAAATATATCCGTTAATAAACTATATTTAGACTTCTAAAATTTGTAGGTATATAATACTTAGACCGTTAAGTTTAAAATATTATATTTAAATAAAAAAATACTCCAATTAAAGATATAATATTAAATATTTTAAATTTTACAATCAAAATTATATTATATTGAAGGGTTAATCTCATTTTGTACCTTAAAAGATTGTTCGAATCTCAATTTGCACCCTCAAAGATCAAAAATCTCAATTTACACCCTCAAAGATAGAAATTTATATCAATGTGCACCCCCAAAGATCAAAAATCTCAATTTGTACCCTCAAAGATAGAAATTTGTATCAATGTGCATCCCCAAAGATAAAAAATCTCAATTTGCACCTTCAAATATAGAAATTTGTATCAATGTGCACCTAAAATTAAATTAATAAATTATATTTTGATCCCCTCATGTTTGTCACTTAATCATTTGAACTCCTTCACATTTAGAATATTCCCCTTACATCTCATGACGTTTATGCATGTGTAACACATAACCACTTTTCTTTGATATATATTAATATAATCGTTAAAAAATATGATTTTATCCTAATATAAAATTATAATTTTATATTACCTTTTATTTTGTGGATTCGATATACTCTAAAGTTAAAAATCAAGCTTACCATTTGAATGTCTAATAAAATGTAGATATTTATATAAAAGGTAATATAAAAAATATTATATAAATATTTATATTTTATTAGACATTCAAATGGTAAACTAGATTTTGAACTATATAGTATATTGAACCTATAAAATAAAGGGTAATATGAAATTATAATTTTTTATTAGGATAAAATTATATTTTTTAACGGTTATATTAATAGATATCAATGAAAATGGGTTATGTGTTATACGTGCACAAATGTCATAAGATGTAGGAGTAATATTCTAAATGTGAAGATGTCTAAATGATTAACTGACAAATATGAGGGGATTTAGGTATAATTTATCAATTTAATTTTAGGTGCACATTGATACAAATTTCTATCTTTGAGGGTGCAAATTGAGATTTTTTATCTTTGGGGTACACATTGATATAAATTTCTATCTTTGAGGGTGCAAATTGAGATTTTTGATCTTTGGGGGTGCACATTGATACAAATTTCTATCTTTGAGGGTGTAAATTGAGATTCGAACAATCTTTCGGGGTGCAAAATGAGATTAACCCTATATTGAATCATTTATTGAAATAAAATTAAAAATAAAATTTAATTTTTTTTTTCAAAAATTATAATTAGTATACAATTATATTATCTATTGATATAATAAACAATATAATTGTATATTAATTACAATTGTTTAAGAAAAAATTAAATTTTATTTTTGATTTTATTTCAATAAATGATACAATAGAACATGAATTTTAATTGTAAAATTTAAAATATTTGATATTTTATCTTCGATTGAAGTATTTTATATCTAAGTATAACATTTTAAACTTAAGGGATCTAAATAATATATGTTTATAAACTTCAGGGGATTTGAGCGTAATTTATTAATTGATATATTCACAGCAGAGATTTAAGTGTTACGCGCGTACAAATTTTAAGGAGTTTGTGTGTAATATTTCTACGACACGCCCTCCTACTTTTCAAGGGGGCCTGGACCCACTTGAGACAAAGAAGTGACTTCAACAAGTGAAGAAAGTGATGGATGACATGGATATTGCCAATGACTTGAGAGTTGGTCTAATTGCATATCTTATGGAAAGAGAAGCTGACCATTGGTGGGAGTCGGTAAAAAAAAGAAGAAACGTGGAACAAATGACTTGAGAAAATTTTGAAGAGGTTTTCAATGGGAAGTACTTTCCCGAATCAGTGAGGGATAAGATGACTTCCGACTTCATGGCACTTCAACAATGTAGCATGATTGTCACTCAATATGAGTTCAAGTTTGTGGAGCTCTCTTGCTTTGTTACAAAGTATGTATTGATTGAAGCCAAGAAGGCCAAATTGTTTAAGAAAGGTTTGAATCCATCTATTCTGGAGAAAAATTGATAGCTCTTTGCCTTCATGACTTTAGAGAATTAGTTGAGTGGGCTACCTTAGCGGAGATAGATTGGGAGAAAACTCAAGACATTCGAGAGCGTCGCTAACATATGAAGAGTCAATCCAAGATCGACAGCGGTAATGGTGGACGTCACAGGGATATTCCATACCAGCGTTCAGAATGCAATATGGGTTAACGGAGTAAATCAAGCTATGTACAAAGTTTGAGACCAAGGGGGTCACGTTGAGAAAGTGCTAACACACTTGAAGCGGTGTTATGGGTGTGGTGGCACAAGTCACCTCAGGAGTCACTGCCCTTCAGTAGCTTCGTCACCATAGGGACAAAGTAATGGGGGATTTTATCAGTAGTCCACAAAGCTACCATATCAGCAGACTTCTTATGCTCATGTACAGATAGTATCACAACAGCCCCAAACCACTCAATTCAAATCTCAGCCACAACATCAAGCTCAACAAAAGAAACAGGAAAACAAGACTCAGGGCACTGATGCCTCAACTCGCACTTATGGTGTAGTTCAGCTTGATGGGAGTGCTTCTAACGCAGTAGTGGAGGATATAATTCTTCTCTATAATTCATGGGCTCGTATCTTGTTTGATCCCGGGGCAACCCATTGTTTTATTTGTACATCATATGTCATTGCATTGGGGTTAGAGTTTGAGCCTTTGGGTTATATGCTATATGTAGATCTATCTACCGGGGATTGTTTAGAGACAACTAGAGTGTATAGAAATTGTGTACTTCGTTTTAGAGAGAAGGAGTTGAGGGTAGATAATTGTTTTGGAGATGATGGGATATGATGTTATTTTTGGAATGGATTTACTCTCTTCCTACCATATTACTATGGATTGCTACCAGAAGAAAGCGGTATTTCGTGCACCGGAGGATATACTTTTCTATGTCATGGGTGCAAATAGTATCCCTCGACCTCTCCATACGATGGAAAAACACATTATGAAGGTTGATATTGGGAGTAACCTAAGTTTCTTAGCCCACATTTCTAGAGAGGAATGGAACAATGTGAAATCCACTTTTATTTTTGTAGTATCTAACTTTTCTAACGTTTTTCTCCATGAGTTGCCTGGATTACCTCCATTGAGGGAAGTGGAGTTTTCTATTGAGCTTTACGCTAGCACGGAACCGATAACCATTGCTCCTTATCGCATGGCACCGTTGGAGTTGAAGGAGTTAAGAAAATAACTAGATGAATTTCTTACTCTTGGGTTTATACGGTTGAGTATTTCACCTTGGGGTGCTCCCGTCCTCTTTGTGAAGAAAAAAGATGAAACTCTTAAATTGTGTATGGACTATAGGAAGTTGAATTGAGTGACTATAAAGAACAAGTATCCTCTAGCCCGCATCGACTACCTCTTTGATCAATTGAAGGGTTCTCACTATTATACAACGATTGATCTTCGTACGGGATACCATCAATTGAGAATTAGAGATGAAAATATTCCTAAGACCACTTTTCGAACAAGGTATGGGACCTTTGAGTTTGTGGTGAAGTCGTTTGGACTCAAGAATGCACCTGCGCCTTTTATGGACTTGATGCATCATGTGTTTTGGCCTTACCTCGACCAATTCGTCATTGTCTTTATTGATGACATCCTCATCTATTGTAAAACACATGAGGAGCACGCTCTACACCTCAAGCTAGTTTTGTAAACATTGAGGGAACACAAGCTGTATGCTAAGAAGAACAAATGTGAGTTTGGGATGAGAGAAGTCAAGTTTTTGGGACATGTAGTATCCGAGAAAGGAGTGTCAATGGATCCGTCCAAAATTGAAGTGGTTTTGAAATGGGATCGACCCAAGAATGTGATCGAGGTCTGAAGCTTCTTGGGACTAGTCGGTTATTATCAGAGGTTCGTAGAGGGATTCTCTCGTATATCTATGCCATTTATGTGACTTACTCGAAAGGGAAAAAAGTTTGAGTGGAATGAAGATTGTGAGCAATCTTTTGAGATTTTGAAGAGAAGGTTAACCATGACACCTATTTTCATTATACTTGCTAGTGGTGAGAGCTATGATGTTTATACGGATGCTTCATCATGGGAACTTGGGTGTGTGTTGATGCAATATAGGAATGTCATCGCTTATGGTTAAAGGCAATTAAAGACCCAAGAGCAAAATTATTCCACTCATGATTTGGAACTTGTCGCTGTTGTATTTGCCCTCAAATTATGGTGTTGTTACCTGTATGGAGAACGGTTTCAAGTATACTCCGACCACAAGAGTTTGAAGTACATTTTCACACAAAAGGATCTGAATGTTCGCCAACGACGCTG